TTATATGGCTGGCGTGACTCTGGTTATTGGGTTATGTGTCTAGCATGGTTCTGATCTGTAGGTCATATGGCTAACGTGGTTGTAGTTTATGGGTTATATGTATGGCATGTACCATGGTTGGTATTTTATGTGCCTGGCGAGGCTCTGGTCAGTAAGTTATATGTCTGGTGTGGCTCTGGCCAGTGGGTTAAATGTCTGGCGTGGCTCTGGTCAGTGGGTTACATGTCTGGCGTGGCTCTGGTCAGTGGGTTACATGGCTGGCGTGGCTATGTTCAGTGGGTAATATGGCTGGCATGGCTCTGGTCAGTAAGTTATATGTCTGGCGTGGCTCTGGTCAGTGGGTTATATGGCTGGCGTGGTTCTGGTCATTGGATATGATGTAACTGTACGACAATGGAGCGATGGGAATGTCCACATCAGACTGCATGTCTCTCAGAGAGGAACATTTACGAGGTGTAGGAGGATGGGAGAGAAGACATTGCAGAGTTACACAAGGTAGCATGGAGAGGAACAAACAGCAAGGGAAAACGAGAAGGAATTCTCAGACTTCATGGTAAAATAATTGGCTTGAAGAAAGACTAATGGAGCAGAGTGGGATAAAGGATGGGATAGGAGTAATTATGTTTGGAAAGACCGTTTCATGGACACTAGTTTGACAATGATAGTAAATGGAGGCAAGGTAGGAGAGAGAGATAGAGCTGAGGGAGGGAGAGATCTCAGATTTTGATCCATGAATCTCCTCTCTCTCTTAGTATCGCCCTGCAGATAAACTGCTACGATGCTCTGCAAAAGAGGAAGCCGGAGGAGCAGCCCTGGTGTCAGAAGTCTCTCAAACACAAATTCCAGGATTCACTGAGGGACAAAGAAAGGATCTTGAATCGCAGCAAAAAAATGAGTTTCATAAAACCTGAGAGTGAGTGCACAGTCATAACACATTATCGACAGCGTTATTTACTAAAATAAGAATTTCCTAGAATTCAAAGTGGATTTCAAATTTAGGGCCAAAAACGCTGAACTGAAAACAAATTGACCAATTTGGCAATTTCAAATTCACTTTAAATTTCCGACAGTTTTTACTTTAGTGACTAATCCTGTAACCCTAGCCGTGGTTTGGACGGTGTGGTAGTGGTGGTGGGATATCTAGAGATATTTAGTGATTAACCCTGTAACCCTAGCCGTGGTTTGGACGGTGTGGTAGTGGTGGTGGGATAGCTAGAGATATTTAGTGATTAACCCTGTAACCCTAGCTGTGGTTTGGACGGTGTGGTAGTGGTGGTGGGATAGCTAGAGATATTTAGTGATTAACCCTGTAACCCTAGCTATGGTTTGGACGGTGTGGTAGTGGGATAGCTAGAGATATTTAGTGATTAACCCTGTAACCCTAGCCGTGGTTTGGATGTTGTGGTGGTGGGATAGCTAGAGATATTTAGTGATTAGCCCTGTAACCCTAGCCGTGGTTTGGACGTTGTGGTGGTGGGATAGCTAGAGATATTTAGTGATTAACCCTGTAAGCCTAGCTGAGGTTTGGACGGTGTGGTAGTGGGATAGCGAGAGCTATTTAGTGATTAACCCTGTAACCCTAGCTGTGGTTTGGACGGTGTGGTAGTGGTGGTGGGATAGCTAGAGCTATTTAGTGATTAACCCTGTAACCCTAGCTATGGTTTGGACGGTGTGGTAGTGGTGGTGGGATAGCTAGAGATATTTAGTGATTAACCCTGTAACCCTAGCTGTGGTTTGGACGGTGTGGTAGTGGTGGTGGGGGGATAGCTAGAGATATTTAGTAATTAACCCTGTAACCCTAGCTGTGGTTTGGATGGTGTGGTAGTGGGATAGCTAGAGATATTTAGTGACTAACCCTGTAACCCTAGCCGTGGTTTGGACGGTGGGGTGGTGGGATAGAGATATTTAGTAATTAACCCTGTAACCCTAGTCGTGGTTTGGACGGTGTGGTAGTGGTGGTGGGATAGCTAGAGATATTTAGTGATTAACCCTGTAACCCTAGCTGTGGTTTGGACGGTGTGGTAGTGGTGGTGGGGGGATAGCTAGAGATATTTAGTAATTAACCCTGTAACCCTAGCTGTGGTTTGGACGGTGTGGTAGTGGGATAGCTAGAGATATTTAGTGACTAACCCTGTAACCCTAGCCGTGGTTTGGACGGTGTGGTGGTGGGATAGAGATATTTAGTAATTAACCCTGTAACCCTAGTCGTGGTTTGGACGGTGTGGTAGTGGTGGTGGGATAGCTAGAGATATTTAGTGATTAGCCCTGTAACCCTAGCCGTGGTTTGGACGTTGTGGTGGTGGGATAGCTAGAGATATTTAGTGATTAACCCTGTAAGCCTAGCTGAGGTTTGGACGGTGTGGTAGTGGGATAGCGAGAGCTATTTAGTGATTAACCCTGTAACCCTAGCTGTGGTTTGGACGGTGTGGTAGTGGTGGTGGGATAGCTAGAGCTATTTAGTGATTAACCCTGTAACCCTAGCTATGGTTTGGACGGTGTGGTAGTGGTGGTGGGATAGCTAGAGATATTTAGTGATTAACCCTGTAACCCTAGCTGTGGTTTGGACGGTGTGGTAGTGGTGGTGGGGGGATAGCTAGAGATATTTAGTAATTAACCCTGTAACCCTAGCTGTGGTTTGGATGGTGTGGTAGTGGGATAGCTAGAGATATTTAGTGACTAACCCTGTAACCCTAGCCGTGGTTTGGACGGTGGGGTGGTGGGATAGAGATATTTAGTAATTAACCCTGTAACCCTAGTCGTGGTTTGGACGGTGTGGTAGTGGTGGTGGGATAGCTAGAGATATTTAGTGATTAACCCTGTAACCCTAGCTGTGGTTTGGACGGTGTGGTAGTGGTGGTGGGGGGATAGCTAGAGATATTTAGTAATTAACCCTGTAACCCTAGCAGTGGTTTGGACGGTGTGGTAGTGGGATAGCTAGAGATATTTAGTGACTAACCCTGTAACCCTAGCCGTGGTTTGGACGGTGTGGTGGTGGGATAGAGATATTTAGTAATTAACCCTGTAACCCTAGTCGTGGTTTGGACGGTGTGGTAGTGGTGGTGGGATAGCTAGAGATATTTAGTGACTAACCCTGTAACCCTAGCCGTGGTTTGGACGGTGTGGTAGTGGTGGTGGGATAGCTGGAGATATTTAGTGACTAGAAAAGAATATAAATTTCAGTATGTTAAAGAATGTACAATAGCCTTGTACTAATAAAGATGTGACAGGCCTGGCCGGGAGAAGACAATCTCCTGTCATGGTTCCATTTTGGAATTTTTAGGGGAGATGAAGATTTAGAACAAGATTGCAAAAAGAAGAATTGAACAAACTTGTAAATGTGAAGCAATTAGCAGATAAACACTGCAAGGGCAAGCTGTCCAATTGTTAATATTATTGTTATATTACTTTATTAATTATGCACTAGCAATATCAAGTTCCTCCTACAGGTTAAATCCTAGACTCAATGCACAAGGGTTACTATCCAACTCAGTGAATCCAGTGAAGGTCACCCTGTCATGTTTTTGTGCTTGCCCACTTGGCAGGGAGCTCAGAGCTTATTAGAAACTCTTAAAGGGACAGTGTAAGCACCAGATCAACTTAAGCTTAAAGAGACACAATAGCTCATTGAAATGGTCTGGGTGCATATTCCCAGGTCCCTTAACCCTGCAAAGGTAATTACTCCAGTTTTTAAGAAACTGAAATAACTACCTATTAGGTAGACAGCCACTAGAGGGACTTTTGGTCACCTGACACTGGCCATCCTCATGCTATGCATTGTATAATGCTTTCCATTTCTAGCTGAGCCACCTTCATTTGATTCAAGTTCAATTAGGGCAGGAGATAACTTCTACAGTAAACACACTGTGATATAAGATATGATTGAAACAAACTTTTTTTCATGTGGGTCACAGCCATTGGAGGTGTGATTAGGGCTGTATAAACAAAGTGTTTTGACTCCTAAATTGCAGATAATTGAGCTGTGAGACTATAGGGGCATGATCTATACACTAAAACTACTTCATTAAGGTACAGTTGTTTACCCTTTAAAATTATATACATAGAGTACTGTCATATCTTAACCACTGAGGGTCACTATACATCCAATATGCAACAAGACCATGCATTACCATATACAGTCACTAGATGTCAGCAAAGAACCACTGGCTCTATAAGAGCAGGTTTGATGGGACCGCATTTTCCTAGCCAGTAAAACTAGCTAGTAGTCTATTAGTAGTAGTCTGGCCAAAAAGTTAGTGGCAGCTATTAATCATATAACAGGTATTAGTGCCGGTAATTAATCACCAAAAAAGGAATTGTAGTGGTTGGGCAAAGGACTTTAATATTCGGGGTACAAATCAATTGATTTTAAAAATTAACCTCTAAGTGACTATTTTAGCCCAAACTCTGAACGGATTGTCAGCTTATCACAATGCGCAGTTGAGTGAACAAACCCCACAGAGTAAATGGCGCTATTTAAACCTTGTTGCTGTGTTCTCCCTGCCCCAGGCACAGGGCCCCCTCTGCAGCACAGCCTTCTGAGTGCCCCATTTATTCTGCACATGATCTCCGACTGTCTGCTCCTCTCCTGGCTCCACTTCTACATTTCATCCCTCAACCTCCATCTTCAGAGTATAACAGAGAATCACAAGACTGCAGGTAAAACAACATCATGGAGACCATTAAAGGGACACTGTTTAACCATTTAATCTAACTGTAGTGATTATAGTGCCTGGAGTCCTTTGGCGCTGTCCTTCCATTAAGTGTTAAACAATCTTATCACATTGAAGTGGTTATAGTACTTGGGAGTCCTCTGGCGCTGTCCCTCCATTCAGTGTTAAACCATTTTATCACATTGAAGTGGTTGTAGTACCTGAAGTTTTCTGGCGCTGTCCCTCCATTCAGTGTTAAACCATTTCATCACATTGAAGTGGTTATAGTACCTGGAGTCCTCTGGCGCTGTCCCTCCATTCAGTGTTAAACCATTTCATCACATTGAAGTGGTTATAGGACATAAAGTCACCTGGCAGTGCCCCTGCATTCAGTGTTCAACCATTGTGGAGCAGTTTAACACTAAATAAGGTTCCCTGGCTTCCCAGAGCTCCGCCCCCACTGGAGGTGTGGTTAAGACCAAGATTACACACTTCCTTCAGCCATATCATATTATGCCAGCAATGGGCACTGTGATAGGCTGAATGCAGTCAGCTGACAGTCTCAGCCAATCACAGCCGCCCCTTGCAGCTCAGGATAATGCTTCCTTATTAGCCCAGGTAAAACAGAGAGGATGTTTAGTATTAAATCATTAAAAACAGAATAAAACTGAAAGGGAGGACAGTGCCAGGGGACCCCAGACACTAAAACCACTTCAATGAGAGGCAGCCATTAGAGAGCCTCTAGTATTCCTTTAATCCGTCCATACATCACTTTATTAATCATTTCTTTACCCTTTAGATTTTTACTCGTCGCTTTTTGGAGCATTGCAAATGCTAGGCCTCTTTACAGCCCCACTCATTTCATGGCTTCTACAAACAGCCAGAAACTCCCAGACAGGCAGCGAGACCTCCAGAACAAGGTCAGTCAAAAATATTACAAATAATCCGACGTTAGAAAAAGTCACTGTGTGAGCCTGTCCTGATATGTTCTCACGCAGCCAGCACTGGGGGAGCCTGTCCTGATATGTTCTCACGCAGCCAGCACTGGGGGAGCCTGTCCTGATATGTTCTTTCTCTGCATTAGGTGCAAGTCTCAGAGCTCGATTGAGAGGCTAGTTGTAGTGTACACTCTCAGGATTCTCGCTGTTATTGGGTTTGGAGTGAGCTGTCTCGTCCCCTCCCTGGGGCTGCAGGTATTAGACGAGGGATCTCATTGTCTCAGAGCTTTCAATGTCTATCCCTGGCAGTGAGTAGAACTCATTGTCTGACAATATCTAACACTGATTAGCACTCAGTATCTGTATATATCCCCATGGCAGTTAGTAGCACTCAGTATGTCTCCATAGATATCCTCATTGCAGTAAGCAGCACTCAGTATGTCTCCATAGATATCCTCATGGCAGTGAGTAGCACTCAGTATGTCTCCATAGATATCCTCATGGCAGTGAGTAGCACTCAGTATGTCTCCATAGATATCCTTGTGGCAGTGAGTAGCACTCAGTATGTCTCCATAGATATCCTTGTGGCAGTGAGTAGCACTCAGTATCGGCCTCTGTATTTATCCCCATGGCAGTGAGTAGCACTCAGTATGTCTCCGTAGATATCCCCGTGGCAGTGAGTAGCACTCAGTATGTCTCCGTAGATATCCCCGTGGCAGTAAGTAGCACTCTGTGTCAAAGCGTTTTCCCTGCTGCCATTTCTGTTCTGTCTCTTTCAGGTTTTAGGGTTTGTGCTACACGTGTTGGTTAGAAGTTCCATGTTCCTTGTCACGTTCTCGCTGTTTAACACGTGGTGAGTACTGACAACGTGTGATTTCTCAGCACTGCCCGCTCATCAAATACAATGCTACCAATTCCATATTTCAGGTTTCCGGAGCGGCACTACGGGGCACTGCTTGGAATTTACATATTTCTGTCATCGCTCCTCACCCTCTCCCAGCATCCTCTGTTCCTGCTGCTCACCGGCCCTTTAAACAGAGACCCCTACTGGGTGAGTAAATGTTCACGTGGGTGTGTAACTATATGCTGTCTTCATGAATTTGGTAGCTTTACAGGCTTTTCTTTAGCCACGCTTTCCAGCACCTTCTCCAGTGTCTGTTCTCCTGCTCATTACATCCCTAGCAGAGGTCCAACTACTGTCATCCTTGCAGGTCTCTTACAAACCCACTCTGAATCTCGTCTCACAGTCCTGGCTCTCCTTAAGTACTCCTAATAATCTCACTCTCTTCCAGATCCACAGCGCATTCTTCGCCAGTTCCCTGAGTGCCATCTCTGTCCCTCTCACTTTGTGCATCAAAAAGCGGATGCTCTCTCACACTCCACTGCCATCTAGAGGATGAATCTGTACAAACGGGATAAACAGGGCAATCACTCTGCTCCACCTTTATTATCCCTTTTACTGCTACAGACCACATGAACACACAAAGCTCATTGTTATAGTTTTATTTCCATAAATGTCACATTATACCCTAAAAAAAAAAAAAAAAATTTACTAACTGCGTCTGCCCCTCTCAGGTATGATAAGAACCCACTCCCTACCCCAAGTAATTCTGCTCCTGGTCCGCTTCGCAACATAATGCTTCCTTACCTCTCTCTTGGACCCTGAAAATGGCATTTGAAGTGTGACTGCAGAGCAACACACCGACCTGGCCATCCCCTCCTCTGCTGGGTAATTCTACTAACGATAGCAACAATTACCAATCCTCCTCTGGAAAATATCATTCATCCTTAAAGGAGACATTAAACCATTAAAACCAGCCCCAACTTGTAATATTTTCAATCAGAGCACTAAACCAGGAAACTCGTTGCCTGTTCTGCTGTCTCGACTGCGCACTCAGGGCCTCAGTAATTGTAAGAGCAGGACGGAAGCAGGCGGGTGCACTCTGTATATGAATACATTAATACATGTACAGTTTACATGTACAAATGGAGAAGCAACAAATGTCAGTAACTGTTCTGAAGTATCCATTTATATATTTGCATTGGCCAATGTGCAGATTTTGACAACATACATCCCACCCAGAGTCCAAAACGTCCACATTCCCAGCACGAGGACAAAGGGGTAAAGTGACAGAAAGAGGATTCCTCGGTCCATGACGGAGACATGCTGCCTGTTCCAAGACACGCGCACACATGGTCATTTTTACCCCACGCCCTTCATCCCTCCTCCTTTACTGGTGAGACGGTAATGAAGGTCTGGCAGGGACTACTTGAAGGATGGATGGCTCTGGAGGTCTGTTGCAGGTAAACGCATAAGAATGGATGGTGGGTAACAGAAGCCAGGACGTCAAAAGAAAAACGGAATATAAAGTCGGAGATTGAGGATCTGTGGTGGGTCCCTCAATGTCACAAGTTCTTCGTAGAACACACGCAGGAAAAATCCAGCACAAGAGAGGAAGGAAGATTGGACAGGCTGGAGCCTGAGGGGAATCTGCAAGGAAAGGGACACAATGAAGGCAGTGAATTAAAATGACAGAGTCCTAGGATTGTTACAATAAACTTGATTGAACAACTTTAGCTCAACCCCTTAAGGACCAAACGTCTGGAATAAAATGGAATCATGACATGTCACACGTCATGTGTCCTTAAGGGGTTAAAGAAGCAGTGTTTGTGTATAAAATACGGCCATACATTCTCACTGCTCAATTCTCTGATATTTAGGCGTTAAATCCCTTATGCTTCTGTTTATACAGCCCTAGCCACACCTCCCCTGGCTGTGACTGACACGGCCTGCATGAAAGCAAAATGGTTTCATTTTCACCCAGATCTTATCATGCTTTAGAAGTTTTATAACCTGCTCTGGAAATTGAACTTTCATCACATGCAGGAGGGTCCTGCAGGGTATAGAAGCCTGTTAACAGTGCAGAAGAATAGAAATCCTAAAATTAAATAAACTGTGCAATATGGGAAGTGTAAACATTAGATCACTCTTTACAGGAAGTGTTGAGAAAGGTTGTGTAAGTCACATGCAGGGAGGTGTGATTAGGCCTGCATTAACAAAGTGATTTAACTCATAAATGGCAGAGAATTTAGCAGTGAGATACAGGGGCATTATCTAAACACCAAAACACATAATTACAGTAAAGTTGTTTTAGTGCCTATAGTGTCCCTTTAAAGAATAAAATGAATACAGTTTAACTTAAAAAATGGATATCACTTGTGATCAAAATAATCTTGCTGGCATTGAACAAAAAAACTTGTAAAAAAATTATATATATTGATGACAAATCATTGGGGGTTTTTTTGCAAAAAATAAATAATTAAAAAAAAACTTTATTGAAACTCTGCTATTGCATTTTGTTCTGACCCACTGGCAAAAGATTTCAGGGCTCCCCCGAATATTGAAGAGAAAAAAAGAAAAAAGCAGATGACACAAAACTCTGTAAAATAATACAATGTGAACAAGGTATTACTTTGCTGCAGAGGAATTTAGATAGAATGGGGGCCTGGGCACTCAAATGGCAGATGAAATTTAATGTTGAAAAATGCAAAGTTATGCACTTCGGCGTAAGGAATACACAAGCAACGTATACCCTTAATGGAAGTGAACTAGGGATAACAACACACGAAAAGGACTTGGGAATTGTTATAGACAAACTATTCAACAATGTGCAATGTCAATCAGCAGTGGCTAAGGCCAGAAAGGTATTGTCATGCATGAAAAAGGGCATTCATTCTCAGGATGAGAATATCATTTTACTTCTTTATAAATTACTGGTAAGACCACATATTGAATATGCTGTGCGATTTTGGGCACCTGTTCTAAAGAAGGATATTATGGCACTAGAAAAAGTGCAAAGGCGGGCTACAAAATTAATAAAAGGAATGGAACATATCAGCTATGAAGAAAAGTTAATACAGTTAAACCTATTTAGTTTAGAAAAACGTTGCCTGAGAGGGGATATGATAACACTATACAAATATATTCGGGGCCAATACAAACCATTGTGTGGAAATCTATTCACAAACCGGACTTTACATAGGACACGAGGTCATGCGTTTAGACTGGAAGAAAGAAGATTTCGTCTAAGGCAAAGGAAAGGTTTTTTTACTGTAAGAACAATCAGGATGTGGAATTCTCTGCCTGAGGAAGTGGTTTTATCAGAGTCCATACAGATGTTCAAATGGCTACTAGATACATACTTGCAAGAACAGAATATTCAAGGATATAATCTTTCAATGTAGGGTAATAACTGCTTGATCCAAGGATAAATCTGACTGCCATTCTGGGGTCAAGAAGGAATTTTTTTTTTCCTAGCTTGTTGCAAAATTGTGCTTCAAACTGGGTTTTTTTGCCTTCTTTTGGATCAACAGCAAAAAACAAATGTGAGGAAGGCTGAACTTGATGGACGCAAGTCTCTTTTCAGCTATGTAACTATATAAAGAGGTCCAGGGCTAGATCCTTTCCGCTCAGTGTATAGAGGGGTATCTATAAGACATCAATAACGAAATCCAAAAGGTGGCTGATCATCTGTTGTCACTGCATGTTGTGGGTAGGATCATACGATATGCAAAAGGTATAGGTTTTGACTGTAACAAATGTGCTAAACCTTAATATAGCGGAGTAACCGAAGGACACGCTACTAAGCTTTTATTCCCTATTTTGGCATGTTTGCTAATTCTGCTATTGTAGCTCTCACCAGTACCACGTTTAGGATGTAACTCCTGCCAGTGTCCCCAAGGGATTGGGAAAATCAGAGCCCAGACACACACACAACGTAGCTTTAATACCAGTGTGTAAACATTGCAGAGATACGTAGAGATTTATATCTCTAGAAATGCCAACAAAAAACAAAACCAACTTAAGAAAAATACAGAAAAATAATGTAATAGTTTTCATTTTTTTATAGTATAAGATAAACAAAGGCTCACCTTGTGTGACTGACAAATGTCAGAGGAAGTAGAAGACGAAAGAGCCGTATTACAGCATTGTATGGAACATACCTTGAGCTGTAGAGAACCATGTTACACGGTGACAACCAAAGACGTCAAAATCATTGTAATTCTGCCTCTCTGTGGTTGACATGTGTACTGCAGGATATTGATTTATGATCTCTCAGACATGCCAGGGAAATCAAGACCAGCTCTATTTATCAGCAGTGTAAATGGATTTTATTCCATGTTCAATACAAAACACTAGATCTGTATGTGTTTTGTGGCTGGTCCAACCTTTCTTACAGGTATGCCTGAAACTCAAAGTTTGAGGTGAAGAGAGAGCTGAACGCAGAGAATTCCTTTTACAATTACACTCACCCATTACATCTGGGCACCCAGACACTTTAATCATCTTTTGCAGTCATCCCTCTAACAGCTCCTTTCTGTCGCATCTGCAAAAAAAGCAGGAGACAAATCAGGATTTATACAGCAGCAAGGCAAAGAAACCCCCATTATAGCACAGAATGCCTGCCCACTGCATCTCACTTCATCAAGCTCTCTCTGTGTCTCGTCCTCCATCCGACGGATGTCCTCCATGGTCAGATCTACCCACCGGTCCAGCGAGCAAAACAGCTGCCTGTGGAAATTCGTGAAGAGACGTTTCTCTTGCTGCCGGAGGGAGAGATAAAAGGCTAAATTAATTAAAATAAATACAAATCTGCAAATGGAGGTAACAAATGAAGCACAGACTGGAGTAGGTGGGAAAACTGGACAGACCATCCAGCAACATGGAGTGCAGAAGGACCCGACTCCCTATACAGAGGTATAAACACCTACACGCTATACCTAATGTATGGAGACATAGAGCTCTTTGATTGAGCCATCCTGTGCCACGGTATAGTAACGAAGACTTACCTTCTGAATAAATTTCTCCACTCTGCCCTGGAGTCCCCACCATCGAAACTTCACTGTCACCAGTTTGTAGGCACACATGTGAGGGGATGAGGGGTTATTGGCCAGTTCCCTCTGCAGCCAGAAAAAGTGGGTTAGTCACCTGGACAGATGGAAATCCCCTGAGTGCAAACAGCAGACATGTAAACGAAAAGCTCCCACCTTCCAATCCTGGTTTAATGGCCCTCGACCAGTCTTCTCTGATCTGAAGGTCGCAGGATCTTCATTGGGTTTATAATCCTGAAAAAAGAATTAGAGGCAGCAACGTGAAACAAATGGTTAAATACTTTATCTCTCATTTCGGCCCATGAAGCCGGGCATGGAATGAGCTTGATTGGACATCCTTCCCTATCCACCCAGAGAGCAATGCATTCTGAAAGACTACTCAGAAGATTAACAGAGCAATTAGAGAGACCAAAACCAGAAAAACGGGTAAAGAATGTCTGCTCATCCACACATTTAAAACTGTAGAATAAAACAAAGGACAAGAGTCTGTCAACGTTTCATGACAAAATGACCTACTGCCACTTTCTAGACAATCTACCATGACTTTCCTAGAGCAGTGGTTCTCAACACAGTCCCATGGCTCACCAACAACCCAGGATTGACGTATTTTCCAGTTTTATTCCAATAAAGATACTGACACCACCTGGATTGCTGGTGGGTTTTGAGAACTGGTTTGGGAAACACTGTCCTAGAAGTTGTATAGTATAAACGTCACTGCATCCCACAACTTATAACAAGAATCCAGGTATGCCACTCGTGTCAGTCGCGGGAATGGTACCCACGGCTTGAGGAGAACGCAATCTTACATTATGTCTATCTACAACGTTCCCTGGTAATTTAGTAAGCCCAGAGTGAATATATACACCAACCCAGGGCGGCACTCACAGAGGAAGACATGTCAGCACAGAGTGAATATATACACCAACAGATGGCGGCACTCACATCGAGGACGACATGTCAGCACAGAGTGAATATATACACCAACAGATGGCGGCACTCACATCGAGGACGACATGTCAGCACAGAGTGAATATATACACCAACCCAGGGCGGCACTCACAGAGGACGACATGTCAGCACAGAGTGAATATATACACCAACACAGGGCGGCACTCACATCGAGGACGACATGTCCGCACAGAGTGAATATATACACCAACCCAGGGCGGCACTCACAGAGGACGACATGTCAGCACAGAGTGAATATATACACCAACACAGGGCGGCACTCACAGAGGACGACATGTCAGCACAGAGTGAATATATACACCAACCCAGGGCAGCACTCACAGAGGACGACATGTCAGCACAGAGTGAATATATACACCAACACAGAGCAGCACTCACAGAGGACGACAGGTCAGCACAGAGTGAATATATACACCAACACAGGGCGGCACTCAAATCGAGGACGCCAGGTTGAGTCTAACTTTATTGCAAACATCATGCCACACACACCAGATCTCTCAGCCAATGCGGTTGCTACTCACATCTTCCGAGACTTGTGAACGATCAGCAATGTCGATATTCACAACTTCCACGTCTTTCCACGTCTCGGCATCCAAACAGTGTACCTGTCACACAGGGAGGAGAGAGGAACACTCAACGTGGAGGCAAGAAGGAAAGGACTGTGACATAAGGTTATATAGTGAACACAAGGGCTTACATTTTCCTGATCGCCCAAGTCAGGTTTATGCCATGTCTCAATTTTGATGAAGAAATCGTCTTTCATGTACTCGTTCTGAAAATCCAAAACAAAACATTAGAATCCTTGGGTGTCCTCCATGAAGACACATACACATAGCTGCACCTTATAATTTGCCCAAACTAGGACCAGCGTGTCGATTAGTATCCTCCACACTGTACAGGGCTATTCAGTAATGTGAGAAATGTCAGGAATTTCAAAGTCAAGGCCAGAGTAGTTCAAATAAAAAACAAACACTTTTCCAGCTCGGTTACTTTGACCTTAAATTTGGAATTCACCTAAAATTCATGTGAATTCTCCACTTAGTGAATAACTCAGTATATTGTAAATATTCTACAGAAAATTACTACATGCTGAAAATGTACATATAAAAGTGTAAAATACAGCACACAAGAAATATAGAACTGTAATACAAGTAATAAATCCTAGTCCAAGTCAGCCCAAAAATGTACTCTTTGCCTTTAAAATTCACAGTTGAATGAATAATACCCAGAGTGTAAAAAAAGTAAATTGTATAACGGTGTCTATGACGTTTATTTATTAATTCTTCTGTAAACTTTTTGTATTTTTAATTAATAAAAAGAAAACCAACACACAATGTAATTAAATTAGGAAGGATGGGAGTTTAGGTCTGAAGTGGTCAAAGGGCTAGATTAGGGCATGAACCCAGAATTTATTAAAGTAAATATAGAGAGGAATCCCTGACAAAACAAGATGATGATAAATGTATTACGATGTATTCAAGCTAACCTTAAACGTGTGATTATAATTGCAGTAAAAAAAAATATATATATCTCCGGTTTAGCTACTCATTAAAGCCAATGGTAGAAATGTTTAAACTTACCGTTACAACTATGAGTGCCGAACAAATCCACAAACGCAGCGGGGAGCGACAGGGAGAAAAAGGAAACATGTTAGAAAGTGCTGCTTTAACAGATTACAGTGTTCAGAGACAGACTCAGACCACGGGCTTACTTGTGCGACAGTACGGATACGCGTTCCAGGCTTTCTCATGGACTACCAAGGATCCCTCAGGGGCCAACATTTTAACAAAACCAGGGACTTTACTACAACACAACAGAAAGAAGAAGAAGGGTATCAATCCAACAATGGACAAAAGCCATTACTACAAATTAAACGTTTGCTGCATCACAAGGTTAATCTTCCAGGAGAGATAAACACACTAAAAATGCTCTCACTAACCTCAAAACTTTAAGGGTTCAAGAAAGTCTACAGTTACATACAAACAATATATTACGTAAAATAAAATAGGATTTGAAATGTTAAGATATTTAAAGAGTCTCTCCATCTCAGTGAAGTTATTACATGGGCTGGAGTCCCTGGGCACTGCCTTAACATATGGGGTCATACCATTTTCAGACCCCATATGCCGCCCATCCCCCCATGTTGCTGGGTCATGTGGATCGGTTTGTGAAACACAGCTCTTGAAGGTCCGGTCTGTAAATAAACTCTTACCTCTGTAAGTAATATATTTTGTGGGTATACTGTCCCTTCTCGCCGTCCCTCTCGTATGGTTCATTCTTAAGAACTTCGATACCTTCCCCCCCTCCGGTGTTATCCTTACTGGCTTCAGCAACGGAGAAGAGCTGACCCACCTGGTACTGTCATATATCAAAAATACACAATACACACACAGAAAATTAAACAAACGTAGGATTAATAGGGGTCATTTCATGCTGTAGCATCAATTACTATCCTGCTGCAAAGCATACCACACAAAGAAATCTCTTGCATGCCAAGTAATTACAACTATAAGTCCAAAGTATGTGGACACCTGACCATCACACCTTTAACGACCTTGTTGGACATTCAATTACAAAACCACAGGGATTAATATGGAGTTACTCTCCATTATTCACTGATGTTGGACAAGAAGGTCTAGCTCACAATTGATGTTCCAATTAATCCCAAAGATGTTCAGTGGGGTCGAGGTTAATGGACAGTGCAGCATACTCTAGTTCGTCCACACAAAACCCATCAAATGTCTTCGTGAACCTTGCTTTATGCACAAGGGCTTAATCAAGCTGGATCAGGAAAGCTTTCTCCGAACTGTTAACACAAAGTTGTAAAAATCCAGTTGTCTAAAATATTTTCGTATCTTGTAGCATTAAGATGAGCCTTCACTGGAACTAAGGGGCCAAGATGTGTCAAATCGTATGGAAGGAAAAAACAGACCCAAGCCATTGTCCCTCCTTCACAAACTTTTACAGTAGGCACTATACATTCCAGTAGCTAGTGTTCTCCTTGCATCTGCCAAACCTAGATTTCTTTCACCGTGATTTATGATTCATCACTCCAGAGAACATGGTTCCTCTGCTCCAGAATCATGTGGCGACATGATCCACATCACTCCAGCCGACGCATGACATTGTGCATGTTGATGTGCAGCTTGTGTTATGCTGCTCTGTCATGGAAACCCATTTCCTGATGTGTAGTTCTTGTGTTAATGCCGCTTTCAGAGACAGTTTGGAACGCTGCTTAGAATGATGCAGAAATCTTACGCAATATGCTCTGCCTCTCCAAGTATGAGTGAAAGTAGCAGTTTAAGGCTGGGGTTTTGATGCTCCAAGACAATAATCATACACAGTTGATTGGAGAACCGACTTGTGGTGCAGGTGCCAAGTTTGAATCACTGGGTTCGTCTGTATGACCCATTGTACAGCCACTCCATGTCTATAGAGATTTCACGGCAATATGCAGGATTTTATACATGGTTAGCAATGGATGCAATGATTAGTAAGGGTGTCCACATACTTTTGGACATATAGTGTACAAAAAAAAGCTAAGCCGTGACAAACAGGCAGAATACACAGGCACACACTTACTTCTTCCACAGATATGGGCAGAACAACACGGCTGTAAGAGAGGGAACATTAGAAACACATTACTGATGATAAAATGTAATTTACATAGATTATCCCCCACTCTCCATACCACATGCACACACTTTGCTAAGTGGGGGCAAATATAACCACCTAACCTTGAATGGGTTTCAGTATCTCTATATAATTCTCAATACAGCTTTTTCACTGTTAAATTAGTGACATAATTCAAGCTGCCTCCCTCCACTGTTGGGCTTGGTTATCAAAAAAAGCAAAATGTGGCCTCCAATTCACACAATACTCAGTCAGCCCTGGCCCCCCCCCCGCTTGGATCCTTTAACCCGACAGCGTGTCCCCCCCCACTCCCGCTAGGGTCCTTTTCCCTGACAGCGAGTTCCACCCCCCCCATTAGGATCCTTTTCCCCCCAGCGAGCCCCCCACTAGGATCCTTTTACCGGCCGCCGAATCCCCAGCTAGGATCCTTTTGGCCGACGGTGAGTCCCCTCCTCCTGCTGGATCCTTTTCCCGACAGCTGGAGCCTCCACCTCGCTGGGATCCCTTTTATCCCCGACAGCGAGGTCCTTTCCCTGACAGCAAAGTCTCCGCTAGGATCCTTCCCTGACAGCAAGTCTCCCCGCTAGGATCCTTCCCGACAGCGAAATCCCCCGCTAGGATCCTTTTCCCACAGTGAGTCCCCCTGGATCTTTTAGCGATCCCTTTCCCCACTGTGAGGTCCCCGCAGGATCTTTTTCCCCGACCTTTTCCACAGCCAGTCCCCGCCAAGATCCTTTCCCCGACAGCGAAGCCCCCACTAGGATCCTTTCCCGACAGCGCCAATCCCCACAGCTAGGATTAGAATCCCCTCCCTCGCCAGGTAGGATCCTTTCCCGACAGCGGCGAAGGATCCTTTTCCCCTCCCCCCTGCTAGGATCCTTTTCCCCGACAGCCAGTCCCCCTGCTAGGATCCTTTTCCCAGCGAGTCCCCCTGCTGGGATCCTTTTCCCCGACCAGCGCTAGGATCTTTTTCCCGACAGCGGTCCCCTGCTAGGATCCTTTCCCGACAGCGCACCCCTGCTAGGATCTTTCCCGATGCGAGTCCCCCTGCTAGGATCCTTTTCCCCCGACAGAGCCCCCGCCAGGATCCTTTACCCGACAGCAGTCCCGCGCTAGGATCCTTTTACCCCGACAGCAGTCCCCTCGCTAGGATCCTTTTCCCCGACAGCGAGTCCCTCGCTAGGATCCTTTTCCGCGACAGAGTCCCCCTTTGGGATCCTTTTCCCGACAGCGGGTCCCCTCCCCGCTGGGATCCTTTTCCCGACAGCGAGTCCCAGCTAGGATCCTTTTCCCCGACGGTGAGTCCCCGCTGGGATCCTTTTCCCCACGGATCCTTCACCAACAGAGAGTCCCCCGTCCCCTAGGATCCACCGACAGTGAGTCCTCCCCCAGCGATGGCAGTCTCCCGGCTTAGGATCCTTTTCCCGACGGTCGATCCCTGGCTAGGATCCTTTTCCCGACAGCAAAGTCCCCTGCTAGGATCCTTTTCCCACAGCGAGCCCCAGCTAGGATCCTTTCCCGACAGCGTCCCCGCTAGATCCTTTTCCCAACAGCCCCCTGCTAGGATGGTTTCCCTCACCGTAGGATCCTTTTCCTACAGCAAACCGACTTCCCAGCTAGGATCCTTTTAACCGGATCTCAGCTTGCCCCCAGCTCCTCTACCGGCTGTGGCCCCCAGTAACCCGGCTCCTCTACCGGCTGTGGCCCCCAGTAACCCGGCTCCTCTACCAGCTGTGGTCCCCAGTAACCTGGCTCCTCTACCAGCTGTGGCCCCCAGTAACCCGGCTCCTCTACCAGCTGTGGCCCCCAGTAACCTGGCTGTGGACCCCACTAACCGGCTCCTCCACCAGCTGTGGCCCCCAGTAACCAGCTGTGGCCCCCAGTAACCAGCTGTGGCCCCCAGTAACCAGCTGTGGCCCCCAGTAACCTGGCTCCTCTACCCGCTGTGGCCCCCAGGAACCCGGCTGTGGCCCCCAGTAACCTGGCTCCTCTACCAGCTGTGGCCCCTAGTAACCCGGCTCCTCTACCAGTTGTGGCCCCCAGTAACCCGGCTGTGGCCCCCAGTAACCAGCTGTGGCCCCCAGTAACCCGGCTCCTCCCCCGGCTGTGGCCCCCGCTGAGAGCGAACTCACAATTCCTTGATTAGAACCATCCTTCCTCCTCCCACCGCCTCAGCAGACCCTGAAACACAGGCCGGAAACCGGAAACCAGGCCGCCCAGACGGGGAGGAGGGACACATGTTGCAGCCGCTTCCGGGTAGCGAGCCAGTGACGTCATCTCCATGCGCGGCGCAATGTGAAAGCGGTGTATGTGCCCTGAGGGTGGCGGGAGGAGGGAGGAGGGAGGCGGTTGCTAAGCGACGGAGAGTCTCTGGTTCTTCAGCTGTTTATCACTAAATATAATAAGCTCAGTATTACTGATAGGGATACAGCCTCACTATAAATAATAATAAAATAATAATAAAATAATAATAATATACTTAGTATTACTGTATGATACAGCCTCACTATAAATAATAATAAAATAATAATATAATAATAATAATAATAATAATAAACTCAATATTACTAATAGGGATACAGCCTCACTATAAATTATTATAAATAATAATAAAATAATAATAATAATATAATAATAATAATAATAAACTCAATATTACTGATAGGGATACAGCCTCACTATAAATTATTATAAATAATAATAAAATAATAATAATATAATAATAATAATAATAATAAACTCAATATTACTGTTGGGATACAGCCTCACTATAAATTATTATAAATAATAATAATAATAATAATAATATAATAATAATAATAATATAATAATAATAAACTCAATATTACTGATAGGGATACAGCCTCACTATAAATTATTATAAATAATAATACAATAATAATAATAATAATATAATAATAATAATAATAATAATAATAATAATAAACTCAATATTACTGATAGGGATACAGCCTCACTATAAATTATTATAAATAATAATAAAATAATAATAATAATATAATAATAATAATAATAATAAACTCAATATTACTGATAGGGATACAGCCTCACTATAAATTATTATAAAATAATAATAATATAATAATAATAATAAACTCAATATTACTGATAGGGATACAGCCTCACTATAAATTATAATAAAATAATAATAATAATAATAATAATATAATAATAATAAACTCAATATTACTGATAGGGATACAGCCTCACTATAAATTATAATAAAATAATAATAATATAATAATAATAATAATATAATAATAATAAACTCAATATTACTGATAGGGATACAGCCTCACTATAAATTATAATAAAATAATAATAATATAATAATAATAATAATATAATAATAATAAACTCAATATTACTGATAGGGATACAGCCTCACTATAAATTATAATAAAATAATAATAATATAATAATAATAATAATATAATAATAATAAACTCAATATTACTGATAGGGATACAGCCTCACTATAAATTATAATAAAATAATAATAATATAATAATAATAATAATATAATAATAATAAACTCAATATTACTGATAGGGATACAGCCTCACTATAAATAATAATAAAATAATAATAATATAATAATAATAATATAATAATAATAAACTCAATATTACTGATAGGGATACAGCCTCACTATAAATAATAATAAATAATAATAAAATAATAATAAAATAATATAATAATAATAATAATAATAATAATAATAATATACTCACAATTACTTTATGATACAGCCTCACTATAAATTATTATAAATAATAATAAAATAATAATAATAATAATAAACTCAGTATTACTGTATGATACAGCCTCACTATAAATTATTATAAATAATAATAATAACATAATATACTCAGTATTACTGTATGATACAGCCTCACTATAAATTATTATAAATAATAATAAAATAATAATAATATGCTCAGTATTACTGTATGATACAGCCTCACTATCAATTATTATAAATAATAAAATAATATAATAATATAATAATAATAATATACTCAGTATTACTTTATGATACAGCCTCACTATAACTTATTATAAATAATTATAATATAATAATAATAATAATAATAATAATAATAATAATATACTCAATATTACTGTATGATACAGCCTCACTATAAATTATTATAAATAATAATATAATAATAATAATATACTCAGTATTACTGTATGATACAGCCTCACTATAAATTATTATAAATAATAATAATATAATAGTAATAATAATATAAAAATAATAATAATAACATAATATACTCAGTATTACTGTATGATACAGCCTCACTATAAATTATTATAAATAATAATAAAATAATATAATAATATAATAATAATAATATACTCAGTATTACTGTATGATACAGCCTCACTATAAATTATTATAAATAATAATAAAATAATAATATAATAAAAATAATATACTCAGTATTACTGTATGATACAGCCTCAATATAAATTATTATAAATAATAATAAAATAATAATAATATACTCAGTATTACTGTATGATACAGCCTCACTATATATTATTATAAATAATAATATAATAATAATAATAATAATAATATACTGAGTATTACTGTATGATACAGCCTCACTATAAATTATTATAAATAATAATATAATAATAATAATAATATACTCAGTATTACTGTATGATACAGCCTCAATATAAATTATTATAAATAATAATAATATAATAATATAATAATAATAATATACTCAGTATTACTGTATGATACAGCCTCACTATAAATTATTATAAATAATAATAATATTATAATAATAATAATAATAATAATAATAATAATAATAATATACGCAATATTACTGTATGATACAGCCTCACTATAAATTATTATAAATAATAATATAATAATAATAATATACTCAGTATTACTGTATGATACAGCCTCACTATAAATTATTATAAATAATAATAATAATATAATAAACTCAATATTACTGTATGATATAGCCTCACTATAAATTATTATAAATAATAATAAAATAATAATATAATAATAATAATATACTCAGTATTACTGTAGGATACAGCCTCACTATAAATTATTATAAATAATAATAAAATAATAATAATAATAATATACTCAGTATTACTGTATGATACAGCCTCACTATAAATTATTATAAATAATAATATAATAATAATAATAATAATAATAATAATATTAATAATAATATACTCAGTATTACTGTATGATACAGCCTCACTATAAATTATTATAAATAATAATAATATAATAATAATAATAATAATATACTCAAATTACTGTATGATACAGCCTCACTATAAATTATTATAAATAATATAATAATAATAATAATAATAATAATAATATACTCAGTATTACTGTATGATACAGCCTCACTATAAATTATTATAAATAATAATAAAATAATAATAATAAAATAATAATAATAATAATATACTCAGTATTACTGTATGATACAGCCTCACTATAAATTATTATAAATAATAATAATAATAAACTCAATATTAATGTATGATACAGACTAACTATAAATTATTATAAATAATAACATAATAATAACATAATAAACTTAATATTACTGTATGATACAGCCTCACTATAAATTATTATAAATAATAATAATATAATATAATAATAATAATAATAATAATAATAATAATAACATAATATACTCAGTATTACTGTATGATACAGCCTAACTATAAATCATTATACATAATAATAACATAATAAACTCAATATTACCGATTTTAAATTATGGAACCGGAGTTCAAGGCTCCGATCTTGAATCAGAATGACAAAACCGTGTGTAAAGCCTTCCCGCAGTTAACGTAGCGGTTTAGCCATGGTTGCATCGCACTGATGCTCACCAACGTTGATCCCAATGGAAGTAGATGGGGCCACGGTATTGCCCCCACTCCCAGCTGCCGCTTTCCCTCGGCTGAGGCCGTGCCCCCCTCCACAGCCAGAGCACTCATGCTTAAACCTACAAGTTGAGCCACACTTACATTATGACCAACATAAACCTTTCTTGTGCAATGCCGACGAGGTGGAGGCTGAGCCCACGCCAACCCCGGACTGAAAGGGTGATAGCGATTTTTGTGCCATCATGAGCTTGATCCATAAAGGCAGGTCCATTTGGTCCCACTGCATGCCTGGGTTAGCAGAGAGACGGTGCCGAAACTGCTCATCGTAGCGCCACCAAGCTAAACCCGCAAACGTCCTACATGCCTCCTATATGCAATCCAAATAACAAAAAAGTTGAGAACATCCCTCCAGATATTTTTCAACTAGCACACTGGCTAAAATGCAGAGCACCCATAACCAATTACCAAAAGATTTTGGTATCTTACGATACTTCTGTCTTTTCTCTTCCTCCTCCTTCTTTGCGTCCTTTTTATTTTCTTCCTTTAAATCGATGTATTCCTCCAATGGGAGAAGTGCATAGATTTGCAGGAATTCGACTTTCCATATTTTTTCATTTAATTCCGGTTTTAAGTGACAAACGAGCGGCCCGGCAAAAGATACGTGTACATTTTGCAGCGCAGCATCCGGAACGCTACCCGCCAGTTCGATACGTTCATTACCGACGTCCGTGAACTCCAACGTCAATGCCCCAGCCGTGACTTCCGACCTTCTCACTACTAGCTGTGACAACCGCGGAGCCCCTGCGCCTGAACCCCCTGAACGTGGCTCCCAGACTTGACCAAAACTTCCTGGCTGATCCTGCCCTGAGCTCCAATTATCTAGAAAAGTCTTAAGACTTGTAGCTGTATCTCCGCCGTCCAAGGACCCAGGAGTTAATGCCAACATTCTGGGACCCGTGTCCTGGACCCGCACCAACAATCTGTAAGGAGATGAAGACATGGGTAGGGCGTCTGCCCGGCTCCTCACCTGCCCACTTTCCCACTGAATACCCCTACTCGAGATATGCGAGCTTCGTCTGACGTCCTGGCCCTGGTGGCTGTCATAGCTAACTCATCGGCTAGCATCCTGTCAGGGGAGCTCCCACTATCGGACGTGGAATCACTCCCCCTATCGAGCGACAAATTAGCTGACTGGGACGGCCGTGCTTCCCCTGACCACTCCCTGAAGGAAAACCTGTCACTGCTGCACCTTCTGCTTGCAGACCTGTACTGCGAACGCCAGACACTCCTAGATCTGCTATTAGCATGCCTGCCAGCCTCCCTCTGAGAAAGCCTGCTAGGGGATCTAGGGTTAGGGTCCTGGTAGCAGCACGACCCACCCTCCAATGAATAGTCAACCCTACACTGTCCTTCTACTGGGTGCCCCATAGGGGACCCACTGCTGCTGTCTCTGGCCCCAATTTTCTGCCTACCCGGACTCCTTCGCGGCATCAGGGGCCATTCACTAGTGCATCCATACCTAATAGGGTGCTCCACCACCTGTTCATGTTGCCTTCCTAGGTGCCACCCCTTTGCCTGTCGTCCTGCCCTTGCAGATGGCAAGGGCTCTAACTGTAGCTTGCTTCCTGGTCTCCTTTTGGGCCTACCTCCTCTGGAGCTGCGCAGTTCTGGGGCCTGAATGCCTGTCGCCTACGTGGTCTTCCCAGCTCTCTTTGCTCTGCTACCCGGTCCTGAGTGGCCACCAAGTTGCCCCTACTCCCGTATGTGAAGGAAGTGGACCACTGGGACCTGACTCACCCAGTGCAGTTCCGTCAGCAGCCAGCAAGGGGGCTCCTGCCTGCCTCACCGCTGCCAGCTCTGCTCCTATCCACAGGCCCTGCTGAAGGGCTCCTACTCCGTCGCCTCCTGGGAACCGCACTGGGACTCAATTGCTGGGCCATCCTTGTCCGCCTCGTGGGCTGATGCAGTGGCGCAGAAGAAGGCCCAGACCCAGAAGTAAGGCAGTCCTGAACCCAAGAAATTCCCCTCTCACGAACAGCAGATCGGATTCCATCCATCAGAGCCTCCATGCCAGGATCCATCTGAAAAACAAAACAGAAAACACCACACAAACCTGCGGCACACAACGCCACCAGGTAAGTATGGCTAATCTAAAATGTCCGTTATTAATATCTGTATCCACCCCATAACCACCTGACCACTAAACCCCACCACTACATATGCCCGCCTCCTAGCTCTGTCAATGCCCACTCCCCTGAGCTGCGCTGGTCCATGGGCTGCAATCTTTGGCATTGGATTACGTTTCCACTGTCACGTCCTGTTATTTCCCATTGGCTATTTCCCATGAAGGCTGATTGGAACACGTATCATCTCGAGCACGATCAATAAATATTTACGGCACGTTACTGCATGAGAGCATAGTAGTAACAATACTACCAGGAGTAAAGCAGCCAGGAGCTGAAGAACCCCGGAGGAAAAGAGATGGCGGGGTAGGGGAGAAGACCATGGGCACCAGCACACCTCATTTCATATATCTATTGTGTTTTGTCGCTATTTAATTCTTTTTGGTTTTAATAACTCCCTCTAGAATGTAAACTCATTGAGCAGGGCCCTGCACCCCCTCTGTTACTGTGTATCCAACTCGTCTGGTTACAATTACATGTCTGTTCGTCCACCCATTGTTCAGCGCTATGGAATCTGATGGCGCTATGGAAATAATAAAATAATAATAATAACTAGAAAAGTTACAATTTCTGGGGAAATTGTGTGAAGTGTTCTTGCCTCCACCTGTAGTCTACAACTGGAGTGGGCGGAGTAACTGTTATCATTTACATAGCACATTTAATTGCAACGTTGTTGCACAGTTACTTTAAACCATACATTTATAAAAACATTAGCAGGTATTCAAAAGGCCCTGTCTATGACATCACTTGCTGCTGCAGCCTTGACATGTCAGAGTATTTTGGTGGTTGCCATCTTCAAACGGTCATATTTTAAAAACTATAAATCCTACAGCGAAGAGCTTATATTGTGGGAATCACAAGACCCAGACCTACATTTTGATGCATAGTATGTCTCTGAAGTATTAATATTGTAGGCACAGTCGCAGTTTAGAAATTGCACTTCAAATTTGAGCTTTGCAGAGTGAAGTTTCAATGAAAGTCAATGGACGGCGTTAGTTGCAAACAAATGATTATATTGTGAAAACTATCAGGACTACGGCTTAGCTGTTGACATGTTTAGTGGCAGCAGGGATAGCTGAACGTTTTGATATAAGATTTGTGTAGGTGGGCCTGAAAATAAGGGAGTGGTGGCAGTTTAGAAATCATGTCCTGATTTTTCAGCTTTTGCCAGCTCCCACTCTAGCTTTGCCATTCATTCCTATGGGACAAATTTCGCCACAAGAACGACGATATTCCGTGAACCATTCAGCGAAACGTTCCACAAAGTAATAGCAATCCGATCGGGAACAATCTGCATGTTTTGGTAAATTTTTGTCTATGTAGTGTAAAAACTGTGGGAGGAGTTAGGGTGGCAAATTTTGCTATAATAATAATAATAATAATATATATGTGAGATAACATTAAGTGGTCTTGCTATGCAAGAACACTTAATAAAAAAAGGGGCAAAAGGTTTTATAACATTCTGCTTCATAAGCCATGCATTGTTTTAGCCACTAGCCACTGTAGCCACTAAGAGCAATGTGAGCTGAGCTGCAGGGACACAGGGAGGCTGCAGACTGATGTAAAAGGACAGTCCAGAGACGCATGGCGAGTGTCTGTCTGTCTGTCTTTCATTTTATTACGCTTAGTCAGCTCCACGAGCCACAGAAAGCATTAACCTCTAGCTCACATTCTGGAAACAGGTGCTGTAAGTGTCCTCTGTACTCTGTAAGTGTGTAGAGAGGGGAGGGGGGGAGAGTTGCAGTCATTGCCCTATGATCCTAATGTAGCTGTTTTCATCTGATTGAAATGCATGTTGTTAACCCTTTCAGGCTCCATGTGTTAAACTTCACGGGAAGTTTGCTGTGCCATGACTGATGTTCATTAACCCTTTTAACCAAAATGTCCATAATGAAATATCCTGCAGATATATAATGACGACCATTGGAGACATCGCTGGTAAGATAAGGACAGAGTGGTATTCTGATTGATATTGATAACACAATTTCTGATGTTAAAGGGACACTATAGTCACCTGAACAACTTTAGCTTAATGAAGCTTTTTTGGTGTATAGAACATGCCCCTGCAGCCTCACTGCTCAATCCTCTGCCATTTAGGAGTTAAATCCCTTTGTTTATGAACCCTAGTCACACCTCCCTGCATGTGACTTGCACAGCCTTCCATAAACACTTCCTGTAAAGAGAGCCCTATTTAGGCTTTCTTTATTGCAAGTTCTGTTTAATTAAGATTTTCTTATCCCCTGCTATGTTAATAGCTTGCTAGACCCTGCAAGAGCCTCCTGTATGTGATTAATGTTCAATTTAGAGATTGAGATACAATTATTTAAGGTAAATTACATCTGTTTGAAAGTGAAACCAGTTTTTTTTTCATGCAGGCTCTGTCAATCATAGCCAGGGGAGGTGTGGCTAGGGCTGCATAAACAGAAACAAAGTGATTTAACTCCTAAATGACAGTGAATTGAGCAGTGAAATTGCAGGGGAATGATCTATACACTAAAACTGCTTTATTTAGCTAAAGTAATTTAGGGGACTATAGTGTTCCTTTAAGAAGTAGAATGGGGCATTGATCCCTGGCAGGGGTTCAGTTTCCAGAAACTGTTTGCGTACAGGACTATATGCCTTTCATTGCTCCAGATCTGTAATATATGATCTCTGATACTGCCGAAGTTATGGTTCTCATTGCTGGAATCATTGCTTTATAATCATTGGCTACAAAATGGAAATTGGTCGAGATCTGAAGAGGAAATGATAGCCTGGCAGCTGAGAGGCATCTAGTCTGCAAAAACACAGATAAAAAATGTATTTAGTTTACAATTTCACAAAATTTATTTTATATATGAAAACAAAGTCATTTATCAAATGCACATAACATATAGGTTGTCATATTTAGAGTTCAATTCCCATAATCTACAGTCCCTTCAATGTAAAATACCTCCCTAATTACTTCTCCTTCCGCCAGAACCTTACGCATGGACAAGTCATTTTGTGGTCACTTTGCAAAAAATGCAATTTTACAGCAAGCCTACAGTGCTGCACATCAACAAAAGGAGTTATAAGTGAAATTTTTCAATCAGATGTTAACTTACTTTAAATGTTTTGATGTGGTGTTCTGCAGGGTCGTCTTAACAGCATTATAGGCCCGCTGGCAAAGCAGCGCACCGGGGCCCTGCCTACACAACCACTCACAGGAATGAACATGTAAATTATCAATAAAATTAAGATTCTAATTATTAGTACCTCCAACAAAATCAGTGTTTAAACATTACAGGACATGCTGGACAGCAGAGATTAATCCACACAAATACTTAGTAGGTAGCAGGGGCGGCAACTGACATGGACTGTCAGGTTACAACTTTATTATAGCTTGATTTTTGTCTTATTTTATGTACAATTAGTATGTCTATGGTGTTTTCGTCAAGGTCAAATTATGTATTCGCAACAGCAAGATCGCATGTACAGGTAACAGCTGATACCGAGCTGATTAGTCCAGTTACTGGGAGTTTTATGGCTGGGGAGCTCTGTGATATACTCATAAACTCTGCACATTACTGTGAGTTTTATTACTGTGGAGCTCTGTGATACTCACACACACTGCACATTACTGTGAGTTTTATTGCTGTGGAGCTCTGTGATACTCACACACACTGCACATTACTGTGAGTTTTATTGCTGTGGAGCTCTGTGATACTCACACACACTGCACATTACTGTGAGTTTTATTGCTGTGGAGCTCTGTGATACACTCATACACACTGCACATTACTGTGGGTTTTATTGCTGTGGAGCTCTGTGATACTCACACACTGCACATTACTGTGAGTTTTATTGCTGTGGAGCTCTGTGATACTCATACACACTGCACATTACTGTGAGTTTTATTGCTGTGGAGCTCTGTGATACTCACACACACTGCACATTACTGTGAGTTTTATTGCTGTGGAGCTCTGTAATACTCACACACACTGCACATTACTGTGAGTTTTATTGCTGTGGAGCTCTGTGATACATTTTGATATGCACTGAGCATTATTCGAATCATATTGAAGAAATTGGCATTATTGATCTTATTTAACAAATAAATCCCAGTCTAACGTAATCCAGCCTCATATTCTGGGAGCTGTCTCTGCAAAGGGTTAATATTAAGCTTTGTGGTTTTTGAGTAAACATGTTCATTGCATGAGATACCTGCTGTCTTTACAGGAAGTGTATCAGGAAGCACTGTCCCGCACATGGCCAACTCTCTGCAACTTTGGACAGAGCATCGTTTTCTGGTATACGCTACAGGGCACAGTTACGGAATAAATAAAAAATAAAGCGCTAATAGTATTCTTTCCCCAATTCCTGTTCCGTAGTCACTGGACAAACGCCCCGTCACACATTGTAGGTCCCTGTTCACTGCATGATAACTTTAAATAATAATAATAATAATTCTGAGCTAACAATAATGCCATTGAGATATTAAACATTCCAAGTATGAGGTTTAGATATTACCCTACTCAATGCTACTGACCTTTCGAAGATCTATATTAGCCTTCCCAGGAATTAAGCTCAGTTGGACCCCTCTCCACATGGATACGTCGTAATTTCGAAATAACGATAAGTTATTGCTATGCCACCTCTGAGTCCTGCTGGGAGCCCATGCCAGTGTGAGTGTCTTTAATGTGTGCCAAGTGTGGAGGAATTACCATGAAATTATTCATTTATTACCACAATAGCTAGAAAATTAGTGGATTTTGAGCGTTTTCCCAGCCTGGCTCCTGTGGCCTAATATTTGCAGTTCTCTGTTCAATTATCCCATAGATCATCATAAAATAACATTTCAATCATTAAACCAGATCGCACGGCTGCCAACATGTGAAAAACCTTTTCAGGGACACATTGAAGGAGATTTATCAAAGTGTCATTGACATTGCCAGCAGAATTCAAACAAAATGCTCAAAATATGAGCCACGGGTTCCCCTGTGAACATCAATGTCCCAGAATGTCAGGAAAGGGAATTAAATCTAAACTACATTTATTAGAGACATTCCTAATTAAAGGGGGGAATACTATAAAATTATGCGTGGGGGGTTATAATTTCATATATATATTTTTTAATTAAACCAAACTTTATGATTCTAAATATTTGGCTTTTGCACTCCAGCTGCTGACAACTACATGTCCCATGATGCTGCTCAATGAAACCAAATACTGGGAGTGTTATTGCTGTGGAGCTCTGTTATACACTCAGACACATTACTGGGAGTATTATTGCTGTGGAGCTCTGTTATACACTCAGACACATTACTGGGAGTATTATTGCTGTGGAGCTCTGTTATACACGCATACACATTACTGGAAGTATTATTGCTGTGGAGCTCTGTTATACACTCAGACACATTACTGGGAGTATTATTGCTGTGGAGCTCTGTTATACACTCAGACACATTGCTGGGAGTATTATTGCTGTGGAGCTCTGTTATACACTGAGACACATTGCTGGGAGTATTATTACTGTGGGGCTCTGTTATACACTCAGACACATTACTGGGAGTATTATTACTGTGGAGCTCTGTTATACACTCAGACCCATTACTGGGAGTGTTATTGCTGTTATACACTCACACACGTTACTGGGAGTATTATTGCTGTGGAGCTCTGTTATACACTCAGACACATTACTGGGAGTATTATTGCTGTGGAGCTCTGTTATACACTCAGACACATTACTGGGAGTATTATTGCTGTGGAGCTCTGTTATAACACATTACTGGGGTATTATTGATGTGGAGCTCTGTTATACACTCAGACACATTACTGGGAGTATTATTGCTGTGGAGCTCTGTTATACACTCAGACACATTACTGGGAGTATTATTGCTGTGGAGCTCTGGTATACACTCAGACACATTACTGGGAGTATTATTGCTGTGGAGCTCTGTTATACACTCAGACACATTACTGGGAGTATTATTATTGTGGAGCTCTGTTATACACTCAGACACATTACTGGGAATATTATTACTGTGGAGCTCTGTTGTACACTCAGACACATTACTTGGAGTATTATTGCTGTGGAGCGCTGTTATACACTCAGACACATTATGGGGGTGTATTATTGCTGTGGGGCTCTGTTATACACTCAGACACATTACTGGGAGTATTATTGCTGTGGGGCTCTGTTATACACTCAGACACATTACTGGGAGTATTATTGCTGTGGAGCTCTGTTATACACTCAGACACATTACTGGGAGTATTATTGCTGTGGAGCTCTGTTATACACTCAGACATTACTGGGAGTATTATTGCTGTGGAGCTCTGTTATACACTCAGACACATTACTGGGAGTATTATTGCTGTGGCTCTGTTAGTTACTGGGAGTATTATTGCTGTGGAGCTCTGTTATACACTCAGACACATTACTGGGAGTATTATTGCTGTGGAGCTCTGTTATACACTCAGACACATTACTGGGAGTATTATTGCTGTGGAGCTCTGTTATACACCAGACACATTACTGGGAGTATTATTGCTGTGGAGCTCTGTTATACACTCAGACACATTACTGGGAGTATTATTACTGTGGAGCTCTGTTATACACTCAGGCACATGAACAATCCTAGAAAAGAGGGACATTAGGAGAGAAAACTGGGACAGCGGTATTTGGGGAACAAAATAGGGACTGTCCCTCCTAAATAGGGACACTTGGGAGCTATGCTTTCTGTGCGATGGTAGGAAGTAAAGTGTAATCATTTCTTCCTGGTGTTGCGGCGATGTGGAGGAACTGCAAGCTGTCAGGGACCCAAAGCAAAGATTGGACTGTTGGCAACTTCAAAACAGCAAGGTGGAAAACTGAGAGTTACAGCGGTCAATTGCTGTTAATTCCTGGTTAGAAAGATAGTACAGTATTTAGTCATTGGTTGCAGAATATTGCCATTGATACATAGAGTATATTATGCTTTAAATTGTTGTGGGTCCATACAATGTCCAATTGGTGACCAAGCAGTCTCCACCTTGTTTAAATAAGTTTGAAAAAATTTGTGTTTAGAGATTATGCACAAATTTTTTTCTCCTGCGATGGGCAAATCGACTGCAAGGATTAATGTGATGGATTGATTTATTCAGGAATTTGATTTGCTCATCACAGGTAAAAAGATTTGTGCAGAAGTCTATTAGAGAGTCCAAGCGAGCTATTCAGTAACAATTATTCAGCTGTAAAATCACTTTCTGCAATTGTATCATACTGTCCAGGCATTCGGTCCTGTCTGTAAGCGAGTGATAGTAGTCCATAGCACCTTGAGGGCAAGTGCTCCTTAACCATGAAAACCCTTATCTTAATGCCCATAACCCAATGTCCCTCTAAACTCTTTGTCCTAATTCTAAGTCACTTTAAAGGTGCATTCTAACTTAAAGGACCACTATAGGCACCCAGACCACTTCAGCTTAATGATGCCAGGTCCAGCTAGAAACTGCTATGTTTACTTTAGGATTAATCCAGCCTCTAGTGGCTGTCTCATTGACAGCCGCTAGAGGTGCTTCCGCGTTTCTCACTGTGATTTTCACAGTGAGAAGACGTCAGCGTCCATAGGAAAGCATTGATAATAGTTTCCTATGGACTGGCTGAATGCGTGTGCGGCATGCGCATTCAGCCGCTGACGGAAGAAGAGGGAGGAGAGTCCCAGCGCTGAGGGACTAAGTGTTTAACCCCTTCCTCCCCCTTCAGCGCCACGGGAGTGGAACCCTGAAGGTAGGGGCACCCTCAGGGCACTATAGTCCCAGAAAAACGAGTATGTTTTCCTGGCATTATAGTGGTCCTTTAATGTAGTGGTTTTAGTGCACAGATACTGTCCTTTTTATCAGACAATGTAAAACAATGCTGTTTCTGTGAAATGGAAATTTTACATATGTCCAAAATAATGCCTCTACTGGCTGTCAGACAGACCACCACTAAAGTCTCAGGATCGGTGTCATCAAGAAGATGATTGTGAACATGTAAAGTGTTCATGTAACCCAATACATTTCTGTAAAAATGCATTCGGTTGGTGTAGCCTGGCAATTGACACACATGCGCCAACTCCTAGAAGAGCATTGGTTTGGACATAAGGCATTTTTCCTCATAGCTTCGCTGGAGGAGAACTGAACAGAATCTGGAATAATAATGGGTTTCATAGCAGGTTTTTTTAGAAGAATCTATATTTAATCATTAAATCTTAGATGTTAAAATATATTTATAGGTTTCATTTTAGTCTTTCTTTAATGCTACCCAAATCCTAAGCCTTCCTTATCTTAAGTAAGGCTCCTATTCTTCTACTGTGACAGAAGAAGCACACGTTAACTTTTGAGCATCCGAATTTGTGGTCTTGTCCATATTATGACAGTATCAAGAGAAATCATGAAACACTCCAGCTCAGAACCAAAATTATTTGTGGTATGTACTAAAATTCTGCTTTCTTTCAAACCACGAGGAAACAAAAGAATAGGCAGAAAATGTGTAAAGTACAAAAAAACATTACCTCGTACAAACAATATAGAGTGTGAGAAGAACAGAAAACAAAAAAGGGCTGGACGCATTTCTCAATCGATGCTCCTTCACCAATTGTACTTTTTAACATGGAGAAAAAAGGAAGTAATGCGGCGCTTGTGAATACTCTGCAGCCCAACACACAAATCTGGTGTTTCTCTTATCCAGAACAATCAAAGTCAGGTATAGCAAAAAGATTGGTGTGGCGCGTAGGTATTTTTTCAAATATATACGCAAACAAAAACAGAAGAAAAGTAACTGTACAGTGTAGTATATCTTAATATTTTTGAGAGGATTATATTAAGCAGAATGTACACTTTTCTGGAGCATCAATTCAGCTCCAATTTTGGCATACGGCAGAATAATCCCAAGCCTAAGGATATAGTTTAGCGCTAATGTGGCAGAATGTCATTATGATGATTAATATTCTCGTTGGACATGTAAGATAGGATAGAAAATATAGTGTAGTATGTCACATTTGTTCTCGGAAATAATCAAGTATAAAATATAGCACTCACATATTAAGGAGCCTCCTATATTGGCTCCTATAGTATAATTTGAAGTGGTATAATTTCCATTCTAGGATGTATGTGTAGCGCAGATCCTCCTCATATATACAGAAATAAAAATCCTGTGTTTTTATACAAAAAATTTGTTTCTGAGCTCGTATGCAAAGGTATATATTTATGGATGGATTCAATGAACCAGTAGCAACACACAACCGGACCAAGCAGACAGCTACACTGCAATTCTACTCCCAACAAGGGGCCTACTGAGTTTAAGCGATGTGTTTGCCGATTTAGTTAGCAACATACTAAACCGTATTGCGTGATTGAATTGAGATCACCACTGAATCAGCTGTTCAAGTCTGGTGGAATTTAGATTTGAAATTGAATAGAAAATACTACAGCTATTATTTTTCCGTTAACTCCAGTTGATGTTATTACCAGAAGGATGTCTGTTTGCGTATGAGTTTGAGCTATAGAACTAGAATTTCCTTCATCTGGATCATTAGTTTTGATTGTTGGTATATTGAAGTCCATCGTAGTTCTTCGGATGGTGGTGGTGCACTCTGTGGCTTATTATATCTGGTTATTTACTTTTTAGCAGATGGGATTGGTTATATGACATACTTGAAATTATATTTTTAGGCTATATGCTATATTTAGTTACACTTTATTTTTGCAGCTCATTTTGTGCGTTGTTTAGATACTGTAACGAAAATTAAGGTCAGTTCCCTCCATTCTTCTTTTGTACTTGGCATCAAACACTTCATTCTGAGTTTCTGAAAAGTGATTCACCCAATCGCCAACTTCCCCTGAAACATTGAAATATATTGCGATGTTAACAGGGCTTTCAATTAGCTGAATGAGTTGTATATAGCAGATGATTTTTATGTAAGGTACCGTTCGTACCTTTTCTCATGAATGGAGAGCATGAATGGTCCAATATGGAAGAAGGGAAGGAAGTGTAGTTGGCCATGGGGTTGTCCTTCATGGCCTGGAATGAGGTGTGCTGATAGATCTTCTCCAGAATATTCTCAGACAGATTCTTACCCAGAAAATCCATCACTTTCCGGATCTCACGCTTTGGATCCTGGTGAAAAAGAAAGTGTCCTGTCATTAGCCACAACATTAAATGGCCCACTCCATCTACAAATTAACCTCTCACCTCCTTCATGTCCTCGTAGAACATGTACAGGATTCGGTGTTTGTCTTTTGCTTTCCACCAGTCAATCACGTGGTCAAACCAACTGCCCCAGCCCACTGTGAATAGAAAGATTGAAATATGTGTCCACATTTAACTCCATATTATTTGTGAAGCACACCTTTTCAGTTACCACTAATTTTATTTATTTTATGGTTCCATACCATCCCCTTTTAGAAAGGTATCCACATACTTCTCCCAGGGACCGGGGTCAGGTTGAGTTTTGTTCATCAAATCGAAGTAATAGTAAGACACAGCATTATCTTTAGCATTCCGAGCAATGTAGATTACCTAGCAGAATAAAATAACATTTTATATCTCATTCGTCTACCATCCAGCTCCTTCTCAGTCAATGTCCGTCTCCCACCTTGTACTCTAACCTAAATCCCACCGCCATCAACATTGTCCCCGATCTTAGTACACTAACACCAACTATCTCAATGCCTGCTTTATTGACACCTACCATCTGACTATAGTAACATCTACATTTTCACTACTCATTTTATTATTGTTCACTGTTCCAACATCTGCCACATCAATGTCCATCATAGTACCAACAGCATTAACATTCTCCATATAACATCCACAGTACAACATCCACCACTGTAACATTCATTGTCCTGATTAGTAACTTAATTATTCTGTACTCGGTTCCACCTCATTAACAAATTCTCATCTCAGTAGCATCGACAATCCAACTTTAACATAGTTAAAGTGATATTCTAAGTACCAAAACAACTTTAGCATAATAAAGTGGTGTTGGTGTATAGAACATGCCCCTGCAGTCTCACTGCTCAATTCTCTGCCATTTAGGAGTTAAATAAAATTGTTTATGCTGCCCTAACCACACCTCCCCTGGCTGGGACTCACACAGTCTCCCAACATGGTGCCTGAAAAATGGTCTACTTTTGAAAACTTCCACTATTGAACAGCATGTTTAATTTAGAAGTTTTATCTCTTGCTCTGCTCAATCCTGCATCAGCTTCCTATGCATGATTTAAAGTTCAAGAACCTAAGCACCATCACCACTACAGCAAATTGTAGTGGTTCTGGGGCAAGAGGCTGTCTCTGCAGCCTTAGACGGGTAAACACTGCTATTTCTGAGAAAACACTGGATTTATTTACTGCCTAATGCCACCATTAGAGGCTGCTGCCATCATCTCCATTAGTTAATGACTAAACCTCTGTCAGCCATCAGCAATTCTCCCGAGTCTTCACCAACCGCTATCAAACTAGTTATCTGTTACTCCTTGTACCAGAATTAAAGTGTACCTTACAGTTTTGATCCCAGAATGACTTGGGAACCAGTTTATATGCCAGGTGAGTTTTTATTATTCTTGGAGATGGTGTCTCTTCCAGTATATCAATCCCTGCCAGACATTGAAATGTTCATCAGCCTCAACACCAAAGATTATGGATACGATGCCTTAATAAATTTGCAGCTTGCTTACCACTGGGGATCGGAGGAGGGGAGCAGATCTCCAGAAATGGGAAACGGATATGAGTGGGAGCACGCTTGACTTTCTCCAAATCTCCTTCATTGACTACTAAATCCACAATCTCCTGCATCCACGTGGTACCTTGGGATACCGGGAAGGGCCACATAAATGTATGTTAAAATAGGGATTATTAAACAAACAAAATCTATACGATTATGTGTCTTCATACCAAATGAAGGAAAACATAGACGATAAAGACATATCCTTACCTGCCTTGGGATATGTAGCTATTAACAAGTCATCTGGTCGAGCCTGGAAGCTCTCCACCTTCTGCCAATCATCTGCAATGGGCTTCATGAGAGGTACCCCATGGACCAGACGGAGGGGGAATCTATAAAATGTTCCATCGGGGGCATTATGCAGGGAATCCCCGTAATCTTCCTGGTTCATCCTGGTATAAAGAGTAAGACAAAACCTTGACTTGGCAGATGAGCTTACTCTTTAATGGCCATTTGAGTGATACAAAAAAAATCTCCATTATTACAATGTGTATGGGGATATGGTAAGGAGTGCAAGTAACGTTTTCGGTTTTGTTCTATGTATTGGGGCTGATAAATACTATAATCACTGCTGCTGCCCAGGAGTAGAGGGATTTTAGGAACAAGCCTTTATTCTGTGTTTTTATTTACTTTTAGAATACACCCTCCCTCTTGCTCACTTTTTTGGCAGTTTTTCTGTCCATTTTCCTGTTGATGCATATTTATTCTGTTTTATGCACCAAAATTGTGTTACTTTATTTTCTTGGCCCATTTCAGTTTTTTTGACAAATTTGTCACATTCAGTTTATATAAATAAAAGATTAGAAAAAGAAGAGGTGCAAAAATAAGAAACAAGTTAGCAGCTTGTATTGTCTTCCTTTATGTTCAAGAACTTTGTCCTTTGAATTGCAAATGCTTTTGTTTTTGTTTTAGTTTTTAATCTTATTTTGTGAACGTAATCAATGGTACAATCATCAGGAGTGAAAAGGGATTTAAAAAATCTAAAAGGTTAATAAAAAGTGAGAAGATTGAATTATTTTGGCACATTACATTTGGGGTTTTCATGAGCTGTAAGCCATAATCATCGCACTTATGACAAATCACGGCTTGAACTATCTTGCTTTGCATTTAAATGCGTCGATCTCATATATTAGTCTCCCCTTTTACGTTGCATTACTGAAATAAATGAGTTTTTGCACGCTATTCTAATTTTTTGAGTATTACCTGTATATATATACATTCATAAGTTTGTTTATTTTAAAGGAACATGTGTATATATATATTTGCCCCCATCTGCCCCCCACACACACACAATACAGTCTTGTACCACTCCCAACACAGTCACACACTGCACCCCTCAGACACACTGCACCTCTCTCACACACACTGCACCACATGCACACACTGCACCCCTCACAGACCCACACACTGCATCCCTCACACACACATTGAATCCCTCACACACACACTACACTGCTCACACACACACACTGCACCCCTCAGACACACTGCACCTCTCTCACACACACTGCACCTCATGCACACACTGCACCCCTCACAGACCCACACACTGCATCCCTCACACACACATTGAATCCCTCACACACACACTACACTGCTCACACACACACACAGCACCCCTCACACACACAGTACCCCCTCACACACATACATTGCACTCCTCAAACACACTGCATCCTTTACACACTCACTGCACCTCTCACACAGACACTGCACCCCACACACACACTGCACCCCTCACAGACACACACACATTGCAACCCTCACACACACACAAACTTCACTGCTCACACAAACACATACACTGCACCCTCTCACACGCATACACAGCACCCCTCAGACACACTGTATCCTTTACACACACACTGCACCCCACACACACACACTGCACCCCTCACAGACCCACACACATTGCATCCATCACACACACACATTGAATCTTCCACACACACAAACTACAGTGCTCACACAAACACACACACTGCAGCCATCACACACACACATTGCACCCCTCACATTGTGCCTGTTTTGTTTCTTTAAATAAACTACCAGTGCCCCTCCCAAGATTAAGTGCTGAATTCACCCCTGCTCCACAGATAGCTACGTCTGCAGCTTTCTCTGCTATTCCTGTACACACAGCACTGCCTGTGTCTCTTTTTGCCATTCCTTCATAGACGGTGCTGTCTGCAAATCTCTCTGCTGTTCCTGCACAGACGGTGCTGTCTGCAGCTCTGTCTTTCTGCTATTCCATTACTGCACATCTACCCATAATTCTCTCCTCTCTGCTATTCCAGTACTGGACCTTTATCCATAATGCTCTCCTCTCTGCTCTTCAATTACTGGACCTCTATGCATAGTTATATCCTCTCTGCTATTCCATAATTGGACCTCATATCTATAATTCTCTCATCACTGGACCTCTATCCATCCATGTTCCTTTCATCACTGCTATTCCAGTACTGGCCCTCTATCCATGCTCCTCTCTGCTATTCCAGTACTGGACCTCTATCCATAATTCTCTCGTCTCCGCTATTCCAGTACTGGACCTCTATCCATGTTCCTCTCCTCACTGCTATTCCAGTACTGGACCTCTATCCATGCTCCTCTCTGCTATTCCAGTACTGGACCTCTATCCATGCTCCTCTCTGCTATTCCAGTACTGGATCTCTATCCATGCTCCTCTCTGCTATTCCAGTACTGGCCCAGCATCCCATGCATTATCTGCCCATTTGTGTAGCACTCACATTTTTGGGAGCGTAGAGTTGCTGTGTGCCTCCCTGCAGCCTCTCTCCACCTTCCTTACCGCACGGTTTATTAAGGAGCAGAGTCTAAATGAAATATATATAAGTTCTGAACACAGTGTGTGAGGAGGCGTTCCCAAAGGGAGATGGAATTAAAGGGCAGAGCTTTTTAAAACTGTGTGCCAGAAAACTGTACTAAATAAATGTACGGCAGGATCAACCCCCCCCCCCCACCCCCTTCTCTCCAAAGTTAGTGGCAGGAGCGAAATGGAGCGGAAGTCAGTTTATTTATTTAATGAAGAGCAGTGGCAGATATTCAGTCTTTTAATAAAGTGTTTTAAAAGCTGTACATGACTTGACAAAACCTGGGATGACATTCATTCCCTTCCTGTTACGATGAAAGTAAAAAGTATGAGGATCTCACAATGTAAAAAGTTCACAAGAAATCTTTTCCGTAAAGTTTCAGAAATAATCAGAAATAATCTATAAACCAACGTATTGCATGTTAACAGCTGTCTGTACTTTGTGTTGAACAGTTATATCTCGGTTTAGCTTATTTCTTACATTGTATCCATACGTTAACATTGCTAACTAATGTTGGGCCCAGTGTACCATCGCACGGCTCAGAAAACCATCTCCTGATTGTTGTACATTGGAATGCTGGGAGTTATTCCTTAAATCCCAGGCTCTGATTGGCTGCTGACACAAAGTGAACTCTGCAGCCATGTTTTTATCAGTATCGGTCACTGACCGTTTGACGTAATTCTAAGATGGCCGCCTCCATGCTGACACCATGCCAGCTCACCAAGTGGTGATTCCAGCTAAACTTACTATAGCTCGGAAATCACACTAACCCAGTTGTGTTATTATATTAAATTAAACACTGGAGAGAACGCTCCCTGTACTGCGTATTATTAAACATGTTTGATTATCCCAGCACAGTGTAATTCAATATGCCTCTCATTATTTTATCCCATATATCCAGTTATCCCGTTCCACGTGATTATGGGTGTTTTCTGGAAACACAAACTGTATTTTTCACACTTAAAATATAGGAGAAAGTGAAAAAGAGGAGGACCGTATTATATGGCAAAATGGTCCTCAATATCAAACTATTTATTCAGGAAAGGATCATATTGATTTGTTAGTATTCCAAAATTAGTTTTCTGCTACATATTTTTCTTTGACATTTAAAATATGTCTCTTTCTGTGAACCACCAGGAATGCATGATTGCTACAATTATCGGACTGTTACGCAAAGCATGATTTGTTAGGAATACCTGGAACTGGAAAAAAAACGAATTTATTAAATTTGTGTCCAATGCTATTAGCCAGGTCATAAAAGTTACTTGCCACAGTAATCCTGGAAGGTCCATGGAGCACACACCAGGGGTAAATTTCTATTAGCCTAGGTTGAAGTGTTACTCGCCAATACCTTGCAGCAAGTGTAAATTGTGAGCCCTTCACTGAACCATAAATTGTTCGGGATTCACGATGGAATCCAACATTTAAGACCAACAGAGATCGGCTCAATACATAGCTAGTACATTTCTAGCCACGGTTTAGGTAATAACTGTAGTCTCTACATAAGTGTAAGAAAGTACACTATGAGCTTGTACTCCATAGCATCAATCTCCATGTAACTGTTAGAGAATGCAGAGTGAGCTCGTAATGGTCACAGTATCGATCTCCATATAACTGTAAGAGAACGCAGAGTGAGCGTGTCATTGTCACAGTATCGATCTCCATATAACTGTAAGAGAACGCAGAGTGAGCTCGTCATTGTCACAGTATCGATCTCCATATAACTGTAAGAGAACGCAGAGTGAGCTTGTCATTGTCACAGTATCGATCTCCATATAACTGTAAGATAACGCAGACACTCACACACAGTCACACAGTTTCAGGCAGACAGTCACACACAAAGTCACAGGCAAACAGTCACACAGGCAGTCACAGGTAGACAGTCACACAAGCAGACAGTCACACATACACACACACAATCACAGGCAGACAGTCACACACACACAATTACAGACAGTTACACACACACAGTGACAGACAATCACACAGACAATCACAGGCAGACAGTCACAGTCACACACACACACACACACACAGTGACACACAATCACAGGCAGACAGTCACACACACACACACAATCACAGGCAGACAGTCACACACAGTCACACAGACAATCACAGGCAGACAGTCACACACACAAATACACACACACACACAGTCACAGACAGTCACACAGACAGACACAATCACAGTTACACACAGCACACACTCGCTTTCACTTACATTCAGCTTGGGCTGGAGGAGTGGATTCAGTGAGTCCCTGGTGTGTTGGAGTCGGGGAAGCAGGCTGCCTTTAGCTCCGCCACTGCATCCGACTTGGTTCTGCCCCCACGGCTGAACTCTCAGTGCAGTACTGAGCCGTGCTGGCTGCCCGGAGCCCCTGCTGCTATGGCAACCTGTGCAGCCACACAGCTCACAGAACCTCAAGCCTGGCCAGCCCTGGTGGCACCCTCCTACCTAGTGACACCCGGGGCGGACCGACCCCCCCTCCTCACCTTAGTACGCCACTGGGTCAGAGAACGCAGTTACCTGCAACAGAATCAGTGTTTAAACATTAAAACATTTTAATCCATACAAGCTTTTAGTAGGTAGCAGGGGGAGGCAAGTGACATGGAGTGGTAAAAATATCAGAAATACTTTATTAGGCTTTATTTTGTTTTGCTTATGCGCAATTAGTATGTGTACGTTGTTTTCGTCAAGGTCAAGAAACGTATTCGCAACAGCAACATCGTATGTACAGATAACAGCTAAACCTGCGGTGACTAGTCAACCTAAACATTTTAATAAAGAGAGTTTGAAGCTTCTGAATTATTCTCCCAAAATAACACCCTGAAAAGTTGGCTCCTTTGCTCATGGGGCCCCCAGGCAACTGCCCAGCGTGCCCATGCGTTAATACAGCCCTGAGAGAAAGGAGTGAGCTGTCATTGTCACAGTATCAATATTCACATATATTGACTTCCTTTGTAGCTCTTTGGATAGGTATGTAAGATAATTAGTAGAGTTAGGTGCATTTTTATCTTCTGACAATTGTCTCAGGAGGTATATGGGGTTCCCGCAACTCAATGTGTCCTTTCAGATTAAATTTTGCAACGGAACACGAGGTCAATTCCCTGCATCTTTTTATTGTACTCGTTGTTATAAGCCTCGCTCTGAGCTTCTGTGAAATGATTCACCCAATCACCCACTTCCCCTGAAATGAGAAAAATCACATTAAATGGTGGCGTTAGAAAATTAAGCACAGATTTTAATCATTTCTAAATATGAGAGAGGGAAATTAAAATAAAATACTGTTCTCACCTTTTCTCATGAATGGAGAGCATGAATGGTCTAATACAGAAGATGGAATGGTGGTGTAGTTGGCCATGGGGTTGTCCTTCATGGCCTGGAATGAGGTGTGCCGATAGATCTTCTCCAGAATATCCTCAGACAGATTCTTACCCAGGAAATCCATCACCTTCCGGATCTCACGCTTTGGATCCTGGTGAGAAAGAAAGTGTCCTGTTAGAAGCTACAACATTAAATGCCCCCATTCCATCTGTGAATCAACCTCTCACCTCCTTCATATCCTCGTAGAACATGTACAGGATTCGGTGTTTGTCTTTTGCTTTCCACCAGCCGATCACGTGGTCAAACCAACTGCCCCAGCCCACTGTGAAAAGAAAGATTGTGAGTCTATGTGAAGTCCAAGTTGATAAATGTAGGTTTGTTTTTCCAGCTGTTTACGGTCTGTGATTATGTATAATAATATATACAGTGTCTTGTATTAAATAATGAAACTTATGACCAATTGTCTCGTAATACGAGATAAAGATGACTTCACTCCCAGCCCGTGAACCCTTTATCTCCTTCAAAGTGATTGTCTGACTTTCTGCTTTCTCAGAACAGTTATTCTGTTGCATTGCTTGGGTGGCTTGACGCTAGCTGTGCTCAGGGATAAATCTAAACTATTGGAAATATTGTGCACATTTTCCTAATTGGTTTTCAGTTTCCCCTAATTGTTGTAGAATACATCTTCAGATCCATATTTAAACTAAACATTAGGTAGTATTTAATGGTTCTTCGTGATAGAAATACAAGCATCTGTATGGGGAATGTGCAGAGCACCAAGACACCGAATGTTGGACCTGCTTAGATTGCAGGGGCGAAGCACAAAGTACCTCTAGTACCCGTCTGAGAGAGGTGGTCTTTCTCAGGAAAGACCGTGTTTGTGTTGCTGAGGCTTCAGGGACAGTCTCTTTGGACAAGGACCACTGTATATAGACTGTAGTTGTTTTGGTGCTTGGATTGTCAGTTTCAGCCATTACAATCCTGCCATAGAGAGCGTATTGATACTTTAAAGGGACCATGGAAAACATAGTGAATTTAACATATAATCAATACCCTGAAATATTTCTAATAGTTAGTTCATAGGCAAAATGAACACCACAAACAGCTCCTCTAAACTGATGTCGTGCACACACAGCGTTAATTAACAATTCCCTATTAATCAGACCAGTAATGGGCAAATAAGCAATGTAATTAAAGGTCATTAAATTATCTGAAACATACCAAGTACACATGTGCATGATATGAGAAATATTAGGGAAGAACACGCCCATTAGACATGTCACACTGAAAAAAATAGTGTTGGCCGAAACACTGTGATATTAAAAAGTGGCAATTTGGGAAGGCTGAATTTCATTAACGAAAAAGATTTGGGATGAAATGAAACACATGAACCACAAGGATGTGAAAATGGGCCAATCAGTGTTCTACAAAATATATAATAATACAAATATAATCTAAATATTCTGTGTATATTTTGCAGTACAAAGAGAAGCACATTTTTCCAATATTGGTTCAAAGATCAAATGACCTCTATCGGTCACTTCTCATTTGATATCTGAGTAAAATTTAAATTTAGGTACTTTCCCCTAACCTTCAATCATTTTTCCCCAATAGTCATCTCCTTCTTTTGTTGCCATGGACAGAATTCCAAATCACTAATCAAACAAACATGCTTGTCCGTTGCATGATGGGAGGAGAGGATATGACGTAAGACGTCGGAGGTTTGGTGTCTGCAGGGTCCGAGGGATGTGAGATGAGCAGAAGACACGACCGAGATACAACATTAGTTTAATCAGATCCAGAGCACTGAGATTGGTTTATTGAGAAGGAGAGGGCAAGATAAACTGTGAAGTCGGTACGTGAACTAGACCAGAGGTTTTTGCAGACTTGGAGTGCGGGTGACTGTTGATTACGGACCGTTGGACACCCAAGCTGTAAGCTGTACAGAGGGGGAATCCCCACACTTACGAATAGATGGAGGAAGAAAGCACCCTGTCGACAGTACACAAGAAATGTGAAAACCTGTCCATTGCACGAGTCGATTGTCCATTGCACAAGCCATTCAGCTACATTTCGTCTCAGAATTCAGGAATTTGTTCGATAAGCCCAAGTTAGGAACTACACAAATCTTCAAGTCTAACACACACTATGTCCTATTGGTACTTAATGGATTTTCTTAAACATTTGTAACCTATTAGCATTATTAATGAACTTTTTGTGATATCAAAAAACGTCCAGAAAGTTTTAATTTCTTCCCTTTTGTCATTAACCTCATAATATCAACCTATCAAGCGCGACATTGCAAGATTATCACATCTTGACCCAGTTTAGGCCCAGATTTAAGACTATAACATTTTCTGAAGTAAGCGACATTACCAACAGAACAAAATGGATTGTAATGTGATTATAGTTCTACAATACCAGACACAAGTCAGCAAAGGAAAATGTATAAGGAATGATACCCATTAAGGTGTCCATTAACACCTTTGTGTGCTAGGTCTAGGGTAAGAACAGGTTACTGGACTCCAGAAGTTACTTGGCTTACGATATCTCCAGGTTGGGTACACACCTTTCCCTTTTAAGAATGCCTCCACGTATTCCTCCCACGTGCCAGGATCAGGCTGCGTCTTGTTCATCTTATCAAAGTGATAGTAAGACACGGCATTGTCCTTAGCGTTACGGGCAACGTAGATCACCTAGCAGAGAAAAAGTGCAATAATATCCAACTCTTAACCCCATTAATAGAAATACACCATCAACCCCAACCCATCAACACAAATACTCCATAAACTATTACTCCATTAATGTAAATACCCCATCTGCCCAAAACTCATTAATTTAAATACCCTATCTGCCCTCAACTCATTAATGTAAATACCCCATCAACCCCCAACTCATTAATGTAAATACCCCATCTGCCCCTGCCTCGTTAATATAAATACCATATCAACCCCCAACTCATTAATGTAAATACCCCATCAGCCCCAAGTCATTAATGCAAATATCCGATCTGCCCCACCTCATTCATATAAGTACACCGTCATCCCTCAACGTATTAATGTAAATATCTCATCAGACCCCCATCAACCTTATTAATGCAAATATCCCAGCAAACCAAACCCTTTACACAGACCCCCCATCAGCTCCCACCTACTAGCCCAGACACCCCATTAACACAGACACCCCATCAGCTCCCACATACTAACCCAGACACCCCATTAACACAGACACCCCATCAGCTCCCACCCACTAACACAGACACCCCATTAACACAGACACCCCACTAACACAGCCACCCCATCACCTCCCACCCACAGACACCCCATCACCTTGCACCTATTAATACAGATACCCATCACTTCACACCCACTAACGCAGACACTCCATCAACTCCCACCCCATTAACGCAGACACCCCATCAGCTCCCACCCACTAACACAGACACCCCATTAACACAGACACCCCATCACATTGGATCCATTAACGCAGACACCCCATCTCCTCACACCCATTAACTCAGACACCCCATCACCTTGCATCCATTAACTCAGACACCCCATCACCTTGCATCCATTAATACAGAGACCCCATTAACAGAGTCACTTCATCCATTTGCACCTATTAACACAGACACACTATCTAACTAAATACAGATAACTTTCTGCCACAGCAACGTATAACGGGTTTTTTAAAGCAGGTTTGTAATTCAATGTATACCTTGCAGTTATGATCCCAGATGGATTTGGGTATCAGTTCATAAGGCAGGTGGGTTTTGATTAGTCGAGGAGATGGCGTCTTCTCCAGTATATCGACTCCTGCCAGACAACGAGATGCTAATCAACACATGGGCCATGATTGCAGTGGCCATAGGTCATCACATTGGGGGGTGGATGCGTGGTTTGCTTACCGGAGGGTAAAAGAGGGAGAGTCATTTCCATGAAAGGAAAGCGAACATGGGTGGGAGCACGTTTGGTTTTCTCCACATCTCCTTCACTCACAATTAAATCCACAATCTCCTGCATCCACGTGGTACCTTGGGAAACAGAGAATTGTCCACAACACAGAAATTTGAAAGAATATACAAATGAAAACAACTAGGCAGCAAAGTTCCCAGATTTTACTATTAACATGATTTAAAGTCACAATTTTATTAACGACACGGAGGCGAGTATTCTGCTTAAAAATGTATTTTTTTCCCTCAGCAGCAAATAAATATGAAATACATCATGTGAATAAAATATATAAAACTGCATAAAAACAGTGCAACCAATCAGAATGTAGGCCAGGTCTATAAAACATGTGACTGATAAACACCTCCTCTTTCTAGCGAACACCTAAGGACAGATAACAGATACAATCTGGAACAACCTGTTCGTCTTTCAAGATTGGTCTGATGCAGACCTCGGTGAAGAGGACAGTTCAGATGAACCTGGTTATGCTTCTTATGATGAAGCTGAGTCTGCCACCTGCAAGGCCGAAGGGAATGATACTCCCAAAGGTGTTGAGTCTAAGTAACACAGTTCCATTTTTTTTTTTAATTCTTTATTTTTCTTGTGCTTACATTTACAAACAGGCTCGTAACGCCACAACAGCGAGTACCAGCTATGCATTGGTATACAATATCATGGCAGAGTTTACAGCACATTTAATTTTTATAATAGGACACGCTTAGAGTGCTTGAGTAGCATTTGTATAGATCAATTAAACCGTGCATACATAAGTAATTGGTTGTTACTTTGTTGATGAGTCTATTGATTGTGTATTCTAACATCCGATACACACTAGTGACTACAGTAAATGAGTATGCATTTTTTATCCTGTAAGATATAACATTGACATTCGAGTAGTTGATGACTGTTATTACTAAAGTTCTAAATGATAGTAAATAAGCTCTTCTTACACTGACTACAATAACGAGTATACATCTTGGTTGGCTGCCTGAGCTTTGTGAGAGGTTATGTTATGCTTGGACTAAACATGTGCAGCTCTAATAAACAGCCCTAGCATTTAAGATTAGCCTCTGGAGTATCCCCCCAAGTGAGTCCCATGTCAGCCAGACGAGGATCATTGTTTGCCTGTCAGGAGACCAGCCTTTGTGCAGCATGACTGTTGCTACGGGAAGCTCGGTGGCTACTGTACTGCTCATAGTCCCTTTGTGAGTAGAACGGTCCAGCACTTGTCTCAGACTGTAGAGAGGCTCCAGAAATCATGTTACCATGGGTGGTCAGTCCGTGTGTTTCGGCTCCCTCACTGTGTGCAGCATGGTATGGTATGTAGGCTGTTATTCCGTAATAGTTCTTCCTTAGTTCACCTCTTGGGGTCTTATTACCCTTTTTGCCGGTTCCTGCTCTGTCTGGTTCGATAGGCTGCTTATGAGGCTACAGGAGGTGTGAGTGCGCCCGGCTGTCATCAGGGTCGCCTGCCACGTGGTCTCCACCATTTTAAAAACGGACTGTGCGCTGGGCCCTCTCTTTCTCCGCTCCGGGCGCCAGTGTTGTGGTGTTCCGATGGGTCACGGGGTGGGGACCAGGATCACCCCCACCGGCCCGGGGGAGGGGGGGCACGGGGCCAGACCCGCCTAGCCCCGGGTTCCTGCCTTACTGCTGGTGTGCAGGATAGCTGGGCAGCGGCCGTCCACCCCGCTCACCGTCCGAGCGGTCCTCATCGCGCGACAGGGATCGCACCTCCGAGGGACTAAAACTTCTCAGCAAGCCTCTCCTCGGGACCAGGGTGGCCTCTAATGCCGGGGTTCAGCAGCCAGTTGTCAGGTAAGCTTGAAGCTGTTGTTTTAATGCTAAAACCGGAGATTTTTGCAGGAGCTACTCCATTGTGTGTCCGTTCAGCCTGGCGGTCCGGCCCCGCTCCCCTACACAGCTCCATTTTGAAGACCGTGGAGGCCAATCTCCGGAACCCACAGGGTATTCCCTTGTTTGACCTGCATGGTCTGTGATATCCACTGTCAGTTGAATGGGAAACCCCTTGGCATATTGCCCAATACTTGACTTTGAGGATGCGTAAACCTCTATCCAAAGAGGGCCATTTGTGCCGGACTTGGCATGCAAGACCCCTGAAGTGGATCCACAGATTACTTAATTCTTGAATAAGACTGAGGGGAAACATGAGAAATGACTGGAGTGTTCCCTTTAAAACTGCCAGGAGAAACATTTTGGATACTTGGGGCCCAATTGTATGAACTGCTTGAGTCTGCAAAATCTGATGGGACTATCTTTGATTTTGACATGGCCATAGGTTGGTTCATCCCATTGGATGCATATCAACCACAGCACTTGGACAAAAGTGGCACAAAATCACTGGCACCAGTGAAAAACCTCAAATCATCACAGAAATACAGTACCCAAAAATTAAATGAATAGAGGTAACAAAAAATATATAAGCTAACAAAAATAAAAGGATCAAGGTTGATTAACCCTTAAGCAGTAACTCACTGTAGAAGCAAACACAGATGAGTCCAAGGAGCTAGAAGCAGTAAGTGCCGGTGTTAGGGACAAAATGTCGACAGAACGAGCAGTAGGTGATTAAGGATTGATGTCGAAACATTGTATATAATATATATGTATATATTTGCAGTACCCTGTGAATCCTTTGAAATTTGACTTTAAATACTTCTAAGGAACAGCAGATTCCTTCCATGGTGCTCCAGGCGTGGTAGCAGGCTCTATTGGGTGCCTACAAGCAACACTACCCTGGGAAAGCACGCCAAATTCGGACTCAACAGACCCACCTCCTAAAATGACCACAGAACGAATGACCGTCATTCACGGCAGAAAATCCATTGAAAATATGGCCGTCATTAGTGCCAATGTGTACGAGCGCCAACCAAACACACAGGAAAAAGGCCAGCGTGAGCGAGAAAGAAGTGCGAACATGCAGCCAACCCGCACTGCTCTCCCAGAATGGAGCAGAGAGCAGCAAACACCTGGAATGGAGAAAAAAGTCCCTTGGAAGTGGAAAAGGGGACAGGGAAGAGGGCAGAGCACACACCAGGACAGACAAACTGGAAGAGTCATATGGCAATATATGTGTGTACTATTGTAGTGAAGTGTACAGAATTATTAAGTAACTGGTCCGAGGGAGCAGCGAAGAAAGCTGAGGAGTTTATCAGTCACACCTTTTATGGACCTGGTCTACATGTTTCTGTGCAGTTTTGTATGTTTTGTTCATATGATTTCTTTCATGTTTCTTTGCTGCTGAGGGAAATAAAGAAAGAGTTGAGCATCATAAGAGCCTCTGTGTCTTTAATAAAATCAACAATTGCTTTCATTAGTTAAATTATTTTTAAAGCAAGAGAATAGCTGAATGGAAGATGGAGACAGATTGAGTGAAGGACCGGTATGTGGCGAAACTAACTTCGTCACTGGGTTATGGAGAAGCCTGGTTGCCAGCCTCCTGCCTCATGACTATGGCCCCTCTCATCAGCCCATGCTAGACTTAACCCTATGGCGATTTTGTTCTCTTTGTGGGATCTGAGCACTGTTCGGATATATTGAGTGCTCAGATCCAAGCTATCTGGGGATAGGTTGAATGTGGGGGTTCTGTTTAGTGTAATGGGAATTATGTATATTTGTCTATTTTTACTGTTGTTGTTGTTGTGATAAAGTGAAGGCAGAGAGGCTTTTAACATTTAAAAACTCCAAGGGGAAGTACGTGTTGTATGTGTGGTGTGCAACACAAAGCTATGTTTAGTTATGGGCCCCTGGGGTGGAGCATTTGGAGAGCAGGGTGGGCCAATGCTCCACTCCTCAGTTTATACACAACTGGGAGAAATAAGGTCCAGGCCAGAGTTTTTTTGGAACTGTCTCCAAACCACTGCTCAGCTGTAGATAATCAGCTGTAGCAGTGGGAATAAACCCCTCCATGCTAAGCAGGTAAAGGGGGATTGCTGGCTTCCTCCCTGGAAGCAGGTAGGAGAGAGTCTGTTCTCTCCAGTGAGAGAGTCAAGGAGACTGAGCACCGGGAGTGCAAAAGGAAAGCAGTCAAGGCTGGCTTGGACCACTGGGTGTGCAAAAGGAAAGCAGTTAAGGCTGGCTTGGAGCACTGGGAGTGTAGAAAGTAAAGCAACAGGCTGACTAAGCACTGGAGTGCAGAGAGCTGACAAAGACACTAATCTGGTGAAACCAATATTGTTTTGTTCTAGAGATAGGGAACCTGATGTTAGTAAGTGCTCAGATGAGCTAGGTTTTTGTTTATAGGGATTTGTGTTATATTTATGTTTTCATTTGGTGCTGTCTACTGTGTGGACTTACAAATAAAGTGCCTGGATTATATGAAAATAAAAGGACCATGCCTGTTGTTTACCCTAGAAGACCGTGCTATCTGCAAACAAGGATCACATTGTGAATAGAGCTATTTTCTGTATGCTGGAGATAATTGGCTTACCACACCCAAGCCATGCTTGCAGGTGGTCACAAAGGGACTTCCAACTAACTTTTGACCCACTGGACCAATTTGTATGATTTTGACATATGTTTGTATTTGGAATATGCTGATTCTGAAAATGTAAGTATGTAAAGTTATGAATATTGTGTAAAACTGTGTATTTTCCTGCCTGTGATAATTATGTTAGCCCATTGTGTTCAGTAATTAAATCACAGGCAGAGGGGAGGATTCTGCTGGCATGAATGGGAGTGTTTTACTGTGTATTACGTGTTTATTGGTTGTTTTACAAAACCCTGTGGGTGGTACTAATATTTAAGAATGTGCATATAAGAAAAATAAACCCACCGCTCTGTCTGTTTTCCTATTCGGCTGTTTACAGCATTCGTATGTTTGAGAGCATTCGTATGCTTCCCCGGTTCGGTGGATTGGTGTCTACAGTAGCTGACTGTATATCTGGAAGGGAATATTTCCTAAACGGCTGTTAACCTCTGTTATACCTGGGGGTGCCATTACACGGTACATCAATCTTCTCACCTGCTTTGGGATACGTGGCTATTAGCAAGTCATCTGGTCGAGCCTGGAACCTTTCCACACTCTGCCAATCATCAGCAATGGGCTTCATGAGAGGTACTCCATTGACCAGATATAGGGGGAATCTATAAAATGTTCTTTCTGGGGCCATTTCCAGGGCCTTGTTATAGTCTATTTCGTCCATCTATAAAAGAAATGCATGTTATATACCAGCCTTAAAAATCCATTCCTACACACAATATTGACCAGCAGGGCTGTTCTTAGGTCTACTTGCTTCTCAATTATCAACATTTTGTGAAGTGAAACATTAAAACCAAGAGGTGCCAGACCTTCTCAATTGAGCAGTCCCCCACAGCTTTGACTCACGGTCCAGGGTGTCCCCAAGCTCTCCATGATATCCAGTTGGAAGAAAGAATGTCAAGGTGATCCATATATACCATATGGTCAATGCCATGCTAAGGTCTCCTACTCTGTGCTCCCCCATGTTGTAGCGATCTGTATGTCGATTTAAGGGAATAAGAGTAACCCATCCATTTGGTTAGGAACACAGCAATTTTGTTTTTCCTTTTCCAAGCAATATATCAGCCTGCTTTGGCAAGTCCTTGACTGCTTGAATCATTGCTTGTACCATGTTCCCTACTTACATCTTCCACCTACTAGCACCACTCAAACTTTAATTTAATTCGGGTTTTACAGTTAAAAACATCTATATTTTACAAATTCCTGTTCATTTTTACCCAGAACTAATTGAACATTTATCAACAACAGGAGAATATTATGGCCTTGAATAAAAACGTACCCGATAACGTTTATCAGCTCCCAATAAGCCTTTTATAAGTTCAAATCGATGTCATTACCAGCGTTAAAGGCTTATCGGAAACAGATAAATATCACATTGAATAATATCCATTTAAAAAAAATATTAAATATCATTATTATACATAGCATTGAAAATATTGGATTCATCGATTCAATGCCATTTATCGAGAACATAATCCTCAATAAATGGCATTGAAAATATCAACAGAAAAACAACTGTTGGTAAATGCATTTTTTGATTATTTATTTGCCATCTGACAGCATTAGTAGCCTGCAGCAAAATAACGAAACACCCTGTAAGGACCAACAGGGGGTCTTTACACCCCCATTCCACCATTTGCCAAGAGTTGGACATGTTTGCTAAATAGCAAGCAGCGAGTTGCAGCTTTCTCCAATAAAAGAACAGCGACTGGGCAGCTGATGCAAGTCCCCCACATGCCCACACACATTGACAGTGGTTGGGGTTTCAAATTAAAGAATGGTGGTTGATAGATCACTGTCTACCTCCTGTGCCCCCAACGTATGGCTCTAATGAAGTAATCAGGTGGGAGGGATATAGTGTTGGCCAGTTGGCGTTCTAGTAAAAGTTTTTACATCTACTAATAATTAATAAGTCTCTAATGTTCCCCCCAGTTCCCACCAATGAACTACAGGTAGGGGCTCTAATTTCTACCTCTTTGTAGGAGACCTGTTATCCATGAGCTTCATTTATATATAGAAGGGTGTACGACCTATTTAGACCTGACGTAACTTTTAAAATGAAAAACAAAATATAAAAACTAATTGACAACCTCCCCACCCCCGAAAAAATAATCTAACTTGGAGAGTTCTGTGCAGACTGAGCCCTTACAAGGGGCAGTCTCCTCTCTGAGCTCCACCAGAGTAAACAGAGCATTCTGGTTCTTGCCTGTCTCTAAATATGTTTTTTAGTGAGTGGACTTGTGCATTCGAATTCGGCTGAATTTGAGCCAATCAACTGGGCAAATTCTGTATCTCTGAGCGTCTTATGAACGTATAATAGGCTAAACGACTAGTGTAATGTCCAAACACGTTTGTTTGATTCGGTATTTGGAGTTCCGTCCGATGCACCAAAAAAATAGATAACTGATGGCTAGGGGACAGTCGCTAAATGAAATGAAATGCGCCTATCGGGGTACTGCAGAATACAAACATGATATGTATATTATACCTATATTGTGTATATATTTAGCAGGACACTAATTGGACTATTTTGTGCCTTTTTAGTTCATCTGAATCATGTATTCAAATATTTTCCCTTGGACAATAATTGATCGAACTGAAGGAGTCTTTAATATCCCGAGCAAAATATTCAATTTTGGGAAAAATGTTTTGTCTGAATCGTATATTCTCACCTGGCAAAAGTCTAATAATTCTCCTTCTTGTTGAATATCGCTGGATACGTTCTTCGTTTCATTTACGGCCTTCCTATGTTTGGCTATGTTACCTTACTTGAACGCAATGCATTACTCTGTGTTCATGGTCTTATGATCCATTTATATATAAATATATAGATTTTGGATGTATGAAACCTTTAAACTCTAGAAATGTGTATTTTATTGTGCAAAATGTACCTCCCCTTGTCCCTCCCTTCCCCTTTTTCTTTCTTTTCTCTATCCTCTCTATTACCTTTATTTTTATGAGTAATTTATATAAAATATTTTCAAATAAAAAAAAAAAAGGTAAAATCAGGTTTTTATCAAGACACGTTGTGGGGGTTTACCTGTTACAAGCTGTGCTATGTATACATGTTTTATTGCTAAACATATTATTTTATAATTCATATATTTTATTTTTTTTACGTTTCTTTAGTCAAAGTTATTTTGGTGCTTAAAGTATAATATCTAACTTGTTAAATTTCATGAATACATTGCTTGTTATAAACATAAGTCTGTGTAAATGTTATGAGTAAATGTCTAACAAATATTACCATGAGCACTTTTTAATTACAAACATTATTCTGTATATTTTGATACAAATTACAAGCTTAATGCTTATACACTTTGTTACAGTATATTTATGTTTATACAGTTAACAATTGATATTTACTTGCACACTATTCCAAATCCCAATGTGTATTTAAATAAATGGAGGTCATTTAGTTACTCCAATGGCCCTGAGAGGGTATGCCCACCTGCCACGTCAAGGCAGACCTCTTAGGCGGGTCCTACACTGACTAGTCACCTTGCCTCCTTCAGCTTCTGGTAATATTATATGAGACAGAGAGGGGTATTTTTTCCCTATTAAGGGTTAATAATTATGTAGGGGTTTAAAAGAAAATACCCCTCTGTGTCTCATTAGAGATATTATTTTACCTTAATTGTTAGTGTAGGACCCACCTAAGAGATTTGCCTTGACGTGGCAGGTGGGCATTCCATCTAATGGCCATTGAAGTGATTCTAAAAACCTCTATTTATATAAATATTCAGGGATTTGGGAGATTTTTTCTTTTTTTTTATTGTATGTATTGGGGCTGATGTGTGCTATGGTCATTGCTGCTGTCCCGGAGTAGTGGGAGTGAGCGCAGGACTTTTTTGTGTATTTGTAAATAATCTTGACTCCCCAACATTTAGCAAATCGGGTGTGAACTCATTCCCACTGAGTTTATTGCACGCACACGGATTGTGTAAGAGAGCTGCCATTATGTAATCTAATATTACATAAACGGACTCATTCAGAATGCACTAGTAATGGATTAACTGTTTCACCACAAGCTCCCATTGTTCACATCTCTGCTATGCTGCGGCTGATATTCGTTATTATTACATTGTTCGAGTGAACCAGGTGGTTTTAACAAACTTAAACAAAAAGATAATGTGGAGTTCAGCAGGATTCGAGGGAGGGGTTAGGACATTCACCAGGGAGATTATGGGGGTGGAAGGAAAGGGGGGGGCGGTAGACTGAGAGGTAGGAACATGAATTCACACTTGGGTTTGTTTTTTTATACCGTGTAGGAATGCAAGAGATGAAGCTGGGAGGCTTTACAAAGGAATAAGGGTGAATAAAGACAAGGGGAGGACGTAGAAGGAAGCTATAATTAAACAGAACAAAGTTCAAGCTAGGAAGAGGGTAACAGGAAGGAGTGGGACTAGACATAGCCCAGGCCTGGGCAGATAACAAACAGCAATAGTTACAAAGAGCTAAAACTATTCACAGAGAAGCCGGACAAGTCGAGAGCTCCATTATCAGGTAAAGGTTTCCCAGGTAAGACACACAATGAATGACCTCACACAGAGGGATTATTCTATAAACTGGGACTGTCACCCGGGATGGGAATCATTACCAATAGATAGCACAGCTGGATACAATGCTTCCATGGATACATTTTTATTATTCAGTAGCCGTGTCCTCAAATGTCCCAGGTTTCCGTGTAAGAGATAAAACCTCCAGCACCTCCTTCTTTATAACAGGGCTGTCCTATTGCTGGCCCTGGGGGCCATACTATTTCATTCATACGGGAACGAAAAGAATAGAGGGATTGGGAGTTAGTCTGACAAAGCTGATTTATTACTTATTCAATATGGAAGTGGTTTAGGTGTAAGGATTTCCCTCATTGTCACTGTATCCTAGCGTGTTATTGCGTGTGCACTGACTCAGACTTGTCCTTCCATAAAGAATTATTTTTGCTTAAATATAAAAAGTCGTTTTTTCTGTGCAATGACACATCTGGAGGGAGAGTTAAGAAACGCATGAAAATGTTCTGAAAATAGGTGACGAGAACGGCAAAAAAAACCCACAACAGACTAAATCCCAAGAAATCAAGCTGTATTCTGATCCGGGAGTTTTCAGCCAATCAGAATACAGTCAAAAAGTTATCCTCGTGTGTGTATGGATATGTGTGCATAGCTAGATAGATAGATAGACAGACAGATGCAGTTCGCCATACAGATAGCAGTCTCAAGACTTTTCCAAAATGTTTGTAAAACATAACTTTTATTTGCTCAATTCAAAAGTCAACATTTCAGTTTCATAAGCAAAATTTTCTTCAGTTTCTGAACAGGTAAAGTATACTCTAAAGTGTTTCTTTCATATAACCTGACATGAAACCTTAATTTCTAAGTCATTTATAAATCCCCATTTAATCTAGAATGGATCAAGAAATGTTGGATACATTGGTCAAGGAATTGGAGAAGCATCGCTTTTCCATGGGCCAAGTTCAAGGAGTTCCCCTGCCAGGGGACACGTGTGATGCCTGGGACACAATATACAACTTTCAGGCCAGAGAAGATGATGTCCTGGTTGCAACTTACCCCAAAGCAGGTGAGAAGAGACTCTGCACAGATTGTAAGCTCTTCGGTGAGACGACAGCTCCCCAATCTCTTCCTCTTGGTTCTAATCTCTGACGATGAAGTTCTAATGCTCTCTCTATTAAACACCTTGAGATTCTTTGCCTTTAAATTCAGACAGGATCGCGTTACTGGAAACAAAGGTTTTTATCACGAACCATAAGTTTCACCAGGACAATGAGAGAACCTGTGTAGTATGTATTGAAGTATGTATTTATAGTATGTATGTACACATAGGGCGCTGTGTGTGATCACGAGGGTTATGCAAAGGACTATTAGGGATCAAAGGTTTAAAAGACAATCGCTATGTTGAACTTTGCCTCAAAATTCATTATTATACAGAATCCCCAGTGTACATAACACACACATGGTCATTAACATAGGTAAAAAATTGAGGTAGACATTTCTACAAATCTAGCTGTGAATTTATCAGAATTTGCCCAAGACTGGAAGGTCTAAAAATTAATTCTGTTGGCCACTAAGTTCCGGTGTTGGCACTAAATATGAGACTGAGTAGTTTAAGAATTGTTTAAGAAATAATTCACAAATGATTCTAGATTATTTCCCAAAATAATAATTTAATTCATTAAGTATGCATTGCAAAGAGTTAAAAATACATGAAAATGAACAAGTGGATAAACGTTTGTGGACCCCCAGACAGTAACCAGGGGTAATCTTCCAAAAGCACCCATCCTATTCAAACCATGGTGGGTATGCATTGTGGGATAATCTTGGCCTGGTCCTCCGAATGTTGTGGTATAGTGCTAATTAAATGAGTCATAAGTCCCCGGGGTCTTTTGGTAACCGAGCAGATGAGCTGCTGGTAGGTTCCCCAATCTCACGTGTGGGTAAAGTTGTGACCCGAGGGTTCTGTGGCTTTTCTTGCGGATTGAACTCAGACTCTGTTCTACAGTCAAACTCCACGTGCAGCAAGATATGGTGAACATAAACCTGTGTATCTTCCAAGCGTCATCCAATATACAGTACGTGTCCGCTCCATATGTGCCTTTCAGATATTAATTGTCTGTCTCTCTGTCCGTCCATCCATCCAAAATCTCATTCAATCTATACGCAGCACCATACCTAGGCCCATGTCTTCATATTAGTGGAGCAGTTACCTGATATTGTACTTTATTCCACGATCACATTCAGCCGTGGGATAAACATAAATCATAATGAAACTGATATCTGTGGGATGATTAAAATCCTATTCATTTGAGATTTCTTACTCTGAGTGAAACTCCTAATTATCATACCGGGAAGAATAAATGCAAATATTTCTTTTCTCCGTCTAAATCTCCTCTGTTTGACCTAAATCCGCCTTCTGCGCCCTGTGATTCCTTAATGCCTTCATTATACCTCTTTAAAGTTCTCCGTTACCAGTCAGGTTAAAGATGCTAAAGATATGAAACACAAAACCTGAGCTATCCTTCCTGGGTGCAAGCAGTTCAGACTTGTCCTGATTAATGCGCAATTAGCTCTCACTGATAGTATATCCCCTGCCATTGCTGTTGGGTGACAGCGAAACATTGGAAGACGTGCGTGTATGTGTGGCCATTTTTATTTATTGAATACACATTTATATAATGAACAAAACATAGAAATGGCTGATATGACCTTGGTAGCGCCTTCCATATTTCCGTTTGTGTTTTGATGATGATTTTATTTATATTACATTGCTTTAAAAAGGAAAAATGATGTCATGTTTGCAGGGACCACATGGGCTCAAGAAATTCTGGACCTGATTCTTCAGGAGGGTGACGCAAAGAAAGCCATGCGGGCCCCGTGCTTTATGAAAGTGCCATTTATTGACCTCTTTCCACCGAAGCCCATGACTTCTGGTAATAGAATACAGCTTCTTTTAAAATGACTGTACCTTTAAAACGTATCTGGGCTGTGCATTATGAAAAACTGGGACAAAAGTTCGAAATGTAGAGCAGTTACCATGGAAACCACATAGACATTATATGTTTCCGCTAGGCTGTGACATTCTGCCCCCAATTGCTCCATAAGCCCAAGAACCCAAGAACTTGCAGCTAAAACCATATTGACTCACAGTTTGGGTTTATTCTACACCAGCAATGGACAGCCTTCAGAACTGCACCTGACAATGATTTCAAAATCCGAAAATCCCATCATGTGCAAAATAACTATTTTTAGCTGTTTTCTGAGAATCACACTCGATCCATCAACACACATTCATTGATTAGAATTTCTCGAGGAAATAAGATTGTCGGGAGCTGAACAATGATTGATAGGCAGTCATTTAAAGGTATTAGAGTGATACAGTCCTGCAGAATTTACTGTTTCTATACTATTATATCCAAATGATCTATTGATTGGCTTAACGTCCTGCCAAGGACCCCAGATAGCCGCACAAATATAGTGTGTGCGCCCCCTGACCCAGCATCATTTTCACTTAGACTATATCACATGGTGAGAAATTCAGCTACGTGTGAGACAGTCATTTCATTATCTTTTACTGTATGAGGATTCCGCGGTTATACAGAAAGTAGATAATAAGAGAGGTAAACAGACATGGAATAGGATATTATCTGTATTTCTCTGTTGTAGGACTTGACCTTGCAAATGCAATGACGTGCCAACGTTTAATAAAAACTCACCTTCCTATACAGCTGATTCCTCCCTCTTTCTGGGAAAAGAATGCAAAGGTAAGTGGTCAGGGACAACTGCGTGTAAGGTGCAACATCTAAGACTTCATTATAACTCCTCCTATTACTTCCTATGTCCCTCCCTATAACTCCTCCTATTACTCCATATAACCTCTCTATAACCCCTCCTATTACTTCCTATGTCCCTCCCTATAACCCCTCCAATTACTCCATATAACCTTCCCTATAACTCCTCCTATTACTCCATATAACCCTCCCTATAACTCCTCCTATTACTCCATATAACCCTCCCTATAACTCCTCCTATTACTCCATTACTAACCCTCCCTATAACTCCTCCTATCACTCAATATAACCCCTCCTATTACTCCATATAACCTCCCTATAACTCCTCCTATTACTCCATATAACCCTCCCCATAACTCCTCCTATTACCCCATATAACCCTCCCTATAACCCCCTATTGCTCCATATAACCTCCCTATAACTCCTCCTATTACTCCATATAACCCTCCCTATAACTCCTCCTATTACTCCATATAACCCTCCCTATAACTCCTCCTATTACTCCATATAACCCATATAACTCCCTATAACTCCTCCTATTACTCCATATAACCCTCCCATAACTCCTCCTATTACTCCATATAACCTCCTATTACCCTATAACTCCTCCTATTACTCCATATAACCCTCCCTATAACTCCTCCTATTACTCCATATAACCCTCCCTATAACTCCTCCTATTACTCCATATAATCCTCCCTATAACTCCTCCTATTACTCCATATAACCCTCCCTATAACCCTCCTATTACTCCATATAACCTCCCTATAACTCCTGTTACTCCATATAACCCTCCCTATAACTCCTCCTATTACTCCATATAACCTCCCTATAACTCCTCCTATTACTCCATATAACCTCCATATAACTCATCCTATTACTCCATATAACTCCTCCTATTACTCCTATTACTATTCCTCCTATTACTCCTATAACTCCTCCCTATAACTCCTCCTATTACTCCATATAACCTCCCTATAACCCCTCCTATTACTCCATATAACCCTCCCTATAACCCCTCCTATTACTCCATATAACCTCTCTATAACCCCTCCTATTACTCCATATAACCCTCCATATAACTCCTCCTATTACTCCATATAACCCTCCCTATAACTCCTCCTATTACTCCATATAACCCTCCATATAACTCATCCTATTACTCCATATAACTCCTCCTATTACTCCCTATTACCCTCCCTATAACTCCTCCTATTACTCCATATAACCTCCCTATAACCCCTCCTATTACTCCATATAACCCTCCCTATAACTCCTCCTATTACTCCATATAACCTCCCTATAACCCCTCCTATTACTCCATATAACCCTCCCTATAACTCCTCCTATTACTCCATATAACCCTCCCTATAACCCCTCCTATTACTCCATATAACCCTCCCTATAACCCCTCCTATTACTCCATATAACCTCCCTATAACTCCTCCTATCACTCCATATAACCCTCCCTATAACTCCTCCTATTACTCCATATAACTCCTCCTATTACTCCATATAACTCCCTATAACTCCTCCTTTTACTCCATATAACCCTCCCTATAACTCCTCCTATTACTCCATATAACCCTCCCTATAACTCCTCCTATTACTCCATATAACTCCTCCTATTACTCCATATAACTCCCTATAACCCCTCCTTTTACTCCATATAACCCTCCCTATAACCCCTCCTTTTACTCCATATAACCCTCCCTATAACTCCTCCTATTACTCCATATAACCCTCCCTATAACTCCTCCTATTACTCCATATAACCCTCCCTATAACCCCTTCACTTTCGCCATTTCCCGTGCAGGTTGATGATGTTATATAGTATAATACAGTCACATTTCTCCTCCTGCAGGTTGTATACGTTGCTAGGAATGCCAAGGACTGTATGGTTTCCTACTATTTCTTCCAGAAGATGAATAAAGGTCTCCCGGAACCCGGGACCTGGGATAATTACTTCTCATCCTTCCTTTCTGGAGAAGGTGAGTGGGCAGAGGGTCTTTGTGTTGATTCTGATTTATCTGTCTGAATTCGGAGCCAGACTTGCTATCAGACCTTCTAATAAGGTCCTATTCATTTATTGTTTAATTTATTTACATTACACATGGAGTCGTAATGTTTATCTGCTCATCATCTACAGATTCTGTGAGACAGATTGAGGTCTGGGTAGGGGGGTTATAACCAATCAAAATGATAGAACAGATACATACTTTAAAAGTTACTAAACGTTTGGCAAATCCCTACGCATTATTCTATTACTGAACTCTGTCCACACCAGGAAGTGGATTGGCCAATCAGAAGCACCACTTTCTGGTCTATGGTGTCTGAACTGTTGGACATGATTAACCCAGCACTGCAAGAGGTGAAGTGTGGAAGGGTAAGAGCCAACCAGCTCGGTTCTGCTCAGAGCAAAGCTTTCTGTTGTTTGGGATCCAGGGATCATCTTTCTATTTATGATAGCTGTTATTGGAATTACATCTCCCAGAATATTTCTCTACAATCCCCGATGAAATGTCCAACTGTTTTATTGCACACTGTTTGTTGGAACGGAGTGAGAGAAAGGGGCTGAATACTGGTGCAGGAATCAGTGGGAATTAAATATTTGAGAATAAAGGGAATGTGGCAGAAATGGCAGGTTAATGTTGCAAAAATATTTATTCTGCAAATAGTCTACAGAATTATGTATGCAGAAACAGTCAATTATGTGGCTAAAAGCTATGATCAGTACCAGTTGAACCTAGATTAAAGTTTAAAGATCAGATTGGGAAACTTTATGAATAAACAAAGTTACAACTGTAAACTGTATTGAAATTAGAGAGATTTACTAACAAAACCTATCAGAAAGTTTTAAGCATTGACTATTAAATGTTAAAGGAACACTATAGGGTCAGGAACACAAACATGTATTCCTGATCCTTTTTTGTTAAAACCACCATCTAGCCCCCTCTCTCCCAAGATCTCTCCTTGCCCCCTAAATAAAGTAAAATTTGACCTTTATTCCAGTCTGCTGCTGCTGGCTTTGCCCCTGATCTGCTTCCTTGGCTGACATCATCAAAAATGATGGTCAAAAGCCAATCACAATGCTTTCCCATAGGTCTGGATTGGCTGAGATTGTCAATTTTGATTATCTCAGCCAAGGAGGTGGTCCGGAGGTGGAGCCAAATGCTGTTCTTGCTAATCAGCATTTTCTCATAGAGATGCATTGAATCAATGCATCTCTATGAGGAAAGTTAAGTGTCTGCATGCAGGGAGTGGAGACACTGAATATCAGTCACACTGTGCAGCACGGCCCCAGGAAGCACCTTTAGCAGCCATCTAAGGAGTGGCCAGTGGAGGTCCCTAGGCTGTAATGTAAACACTGCATTATCTCTAAAACAAATACCCTGCAGGGACTCTCTATACTCACCAAAACAACAACATTAAGCTGTATACTATACATTAAGCTGTAGTTGTTCTGGTGACTATAGTGTCCCTTTAAGTTTAATTGCAGACTTTAGTGTAATACATTTTAAAATCTATTCATGATGGTCAATGGTGAATGTCAGGGCTTTCTTAGATTTTATAGCTCACTACTCCATTTATTTGAGTATTAAAATGACGGTAACATTCTACAGGCCATGTTCACACAGACAGTCGGTGACAGAACTGAAGATCATACGTTTTCCTTTTATTGTTCCCTGGGGAAGCTGATTTGACCATGTTAAGTAAGTCAGTGGTGGCATTGAGTCATGTAATCTTTGTTCTTTCTTGTAGTTCCCTGGGGAAGCTGGTTTGACCATGTAATTGGCTGGTGGAAAGCAAGAGACAAACATCAGATACTCTACGTCTTCTATGAGGACATGATTGAGGTATAGATGGCAATTATAGAAAAAAGGTTGAGTATTAAAAATAAATAAACAAACAAACAAATATTACCCTAAATCCCTTATGTAACCAGGACCCAATGCGTGAGATTCGCAGAATGGTCAAGTTTCTCAGCAAGGATCTATCTGAAGATGTTTTGGAGACAATCAAACACCACACATCCTTCCAGGCCATGAAGAATAATCCAATGACCAATTTCAGTGTGCTTCCTTCGGTTGTGTTTGATCAGTCCATCTCAGCATTTATGAGGAAAGGTATTTATTCTACGAACACAGATGGTTATTTTATTCCATGCATCAGATGTTATTTCACTCTAACCACTCTAGTTTAAATCACAGGGATTTCTTGAATTACTGGAGTAGAATATTTCTTTTTTTCTTTTAAATATTTTGCAGTAAAAACATCAGTACATAAGTTATCCTGGCTCCCCAATGTTCTCTGACCCCTTAACACCCATTTCTTCTTCCAGGAACTGTTGGAGACTGGAAGAATCATTTCACAGTTGCCCAGAACAATGTATTTGATGAAGAATACAAAAAGAAGATGGAAGGACAAGACCTGACCTTTCGTATGGAACTATGAGGCATAAACACTAGCAGAACTGTTTTTATAAACAATGCTTTATAAATTAAACAATTAAATAAATTGTAATTTTTCAGACTCACAGAGCTTTGCCATCACTGCTAAATATTTCCGGTTACATCCATACATGAGGAAATCCCACAGCCGCATTTCTTACTATTGTACCTAACCCCAGCACTCTTGGACCAATAGGAAGACTATTATGGATCTTGTATGGCCAACTATTTTATACCTGCAACGCTCGTCTACCTCAGCCAGCAGTGGCCCCTCTATATCAGGGAACAGGAGTATCCCACATTATCTGTGATAGTTAAACGTTTTAATAAGGTTCCTTTATACCACTACTGGCTCCAACTTACAGAGTTATTTACTAACTCGAGAATTCAAAGTGAACTTAAAATTTAAAGCCAGAGTTGCCCATCTGAAAGCAAAGCTAACTTTGACATTTTGAGATTCACGTCTATTCCTTGATTTGGTGAATAACCCTGTCAATATTTTTGGATTTGCTTTACAAATGATTTAATATTGTTGGATAAACTATTAAAATTAGTGTGGATATATTTTATATTGTGAAAAAAATCATTTTAAAAGTTAATTCAAAAACATTAAATTAGGGCCATTGTCTTTAATCTGTCTGATATGTCATTATATTGCATATTTCGTATTATTACATTCTATTCATTGTATATATTAGGACTATAGTATGAGCTTTTTAGTTTTCGGTTGGGGTACTTTTCTCAGTGATATTTGGTTTAAACACTGAGTTATCTTTCTGTGACAGAGCGAAGTTTGATGGGACATAGTAGACGTGGCTCAAAGAAGATCTTTAATCCATCCACAATTCTATATGTATAAATCGATATATAAATATATTGATAAATGTTATATATTAATAAAGTGCATAAAGGTGCTCCAACCGAGAGTGCAAATATGAGTATAAAGTGCCCTAATATAAAGTGCTATAAATATTTTTTCCTTTGATATATTGTATCAGAATTTATGCCTAAAGAGAAGCAAATCAAAATAATACATTAAAATAAATTAATTAAAAAGTAAAACATATAAATAGTAAAAACCAAATAAGTTATGTTTAAAGTTTCCACTGTTAAAGGTGCACTGTCTGTCTGCACTGTCTGTCTGCAGCTCCCGGAGGTCCCTCCGATAACAGGACAAAAATCTTCTCCCATAAACCCATGCACAGTCGAGTTTATCCCAGTTTATCTGCTATCAGTTTATACTGTTTAGTAAATCAGACAATGTGCAGCTATCGGCAGAGCTGTGGTCTCCAGCGTCTTGGAGTAGAGAGAGCTCAGAACAAGTTGAACAAATATGAGGCATCTGGTTACTCGGCATTCTTAAGCCAAGCTGCCAATGGCTGCAAGGTGCTTTACGCACAATACCCCATGCAATTATGCAACCTTGTGATGCTTTAACACTGTAACATTTTACCAGGTAGGGTTCTGATTGCATTTGAGACATCAGTTTGGTATTTTTCTAATGAGAAATGACTAAAGGACTTGACCTAGACGGTAAACTCGTTTGAGCAGGGTCCTCTTAAACCTATCGTTCCTGTAAGTTTTCTTGTAATTGTCCTATTTATAGCTAAATCCCCCCTCATAATATTGTAAAGCGCTACGGAATCTGTTGGCACTATATAAATGACAATAATAATAATAATACCTTCTATCAGAGTAAGGTCTGATCATTACATTGATGCTTATGTACTACATTGTGAATTGACTATGGAATACTAATATGTCACCTTAAAAAGAGACAAAGTACAAGAAATCGCAGCTGGTTTTCCAGTTTGGCAACTTTTTTTTTTGTTTTTTTGTTTTATTCTTTATTTATGGTTCATTTTGTTTTATGCAGTTTGGTATACAGGGTCTGGGTTACAGAAAAGAAATTGTGGCGGGGTAGATAACGGTAATGCACAGTTATACAGTCCCAACTTTCCCTTCCATTTCGTGTTCTCTGTTTTTACAATCACACAGTTACCCGTTACATATGCAGGGATGGCATAGGCTGGAATCGTACATATCTTTCAGTAGTATGAGGAAGAGATACTTTTTTATTTTTAAATGTCCATGTTTCATGTTCACAATGTGACTTCTATCTTTAATTGGTTACTCTAACCAAAAAACTTTTAAGAAAAAAAAATGTGTTTTTTTGTTGAAGTAACCCATATCCTGATCCCCAGGGACAAAGTTAGAACATTCTAAAAAGCATAAACCTACTTGCCTTTCAGAACTGAGGCCAAGTTCTCCCCTCCGCCCAATCCTCCTTTGCTGATGTCACTCCCTCTAGTTCAGAACCGGCTGACGGGAGGACAGTGGTGGCATGGGAGTGGGGAGCATGACATCATTGCCTGACTTGCCATCATGCTGTATGTGCTGTCGACAGACACCGTATGTGCCCAGAATTGATATAAGTCACCCAGAAGTCTTGTTCTGGGCTGGCTAATGACACAACAATGATATTTGGGTCTGCAGGAAAGGAAATGCTGCAGTTATTTAGTAAGAACATAATTATTCACTAAAATGTGAATTAATGTAAATTCAGAGAGAGAATTTCACGTTCGGTCAAAGCAGTCAAATATGAAAACGTTCTTCAAGTCATTTACTTTTAAATTCCTGACAATTCACATCTTAATGAATAACCATGTCAGGATAATTCAGTAAAATGTTTTGAGAACTGACAAAAGAATGCAAATTTAGGTGTAAAAACCGCAGTTTGGGCTTTTTTGCAGTTTTACTATTTTGGCCTAAGTCCCCCTAAGATTAGAAATTTCTTTGCCAGTTCTCCACAATTCCTAGTTTAGGGTATATTCTACCATTCTCCCAAGTATATAGAAATAGTGAATGCACGAGCAATCTGTTAAGGTTTTATATATAATTAATTTACCTTAACGGAACAGTAAGCGCAGTCCTAGATCTGTCCAGTCCACTCACTCAGGATATATACAATATACTTAGCATGGCGAGAGGAGAGAGGGAATCTGCAGCAGGCAAACTGTTTTTATTTTATTATCAGTAAAAGAAACTTGGGCGTTATCAGCCCATGTGATTGAGAAAGTCTTGGGGCCTCTCACAGGGCAGGGGTTATACATTTAAAGATCTATGTAGGACACATGTTTACGTTTAAATGCACACACGCCTATGGGGTTTAGAACCAACAACAGAGTCCATGTCTTCACTATTAACAAATTACTAGTGAAAAAAAGACCCTTATTGACCTTTCCATGCTAGCTTCTGTCTCTGGTGAATAACAATTTATTGAATAGGATAGGACAAAGCCATCAATATTGGGAATATCATATCTTCTGTTTCCGATTCGAGATTTGTATTTCGTTTAACGTATTTGCCTTTATCCATGTAAACATTTGTTAGTGATTACTATTAATCGTGGGTTGTCTTCTTCTGGAAGTATTAGTGTCAATATGGAGTGGAGGCAGCTTTAACCCCTTCATTGCCAATGAGTTGTGAATATGGTGATGAAAACAAGAGATTTGCATTACTTTTGCCAGTTTGGCAACTTGAACCTTAATTTTGGGATACAATGCCCGGCATTCTCACTGCAATTCATTTTGTATTCAATGAGGCCAAGTCGTCAGTCTAACACAGCAGCATGGTAAAATTAGAAAATTGGAAAAAAGTCAACACAAACTGTGAAAAAATGTCCTTGGTTCTGAAGTGGCAATCAGATTTCTCCCGGCATTATCAATCCGTTACCCTCTATATTATATCCTTCTTACATCATTATTATTATAACCTTGTATATTCTGTTCTTCCAAAAGAGTATCCAGACATCGTTTAAAACTCTGTACAGATTTTGATAAGACGACTGTTAGGCAGAGAATTCTGTTCTCACTGTAACTAACCCTTTCCTCTGCTGTAGGTGAAATCTCCTTGTTATGCATACCCTATTTTAACCCCCTTAAGGACTGAGCCAAATGTACATGTTGTGAATGAAACAAAATGTAAACAAAACCTGGCATTTGCGCTACATGTCTGTCCAACCGTAATTCACCTCTTTCATAGTAAATGCACCCACCCTTATTATATATCATTTTATTCAGGGAAAACAGGGCTTTCATTTAATATCAAATATTTAGCTATGAAACATAATTTAATATGAAAAAAATGGGATAAAATAAGATTTTTTAAATTTTTTTAGTTCTACATGACATTTTAACTGTCAATGTCATAATACTGTTTGCTTTTACTGCAATAAAATACACATATTTGTATTCAGCAAAGTCTCACGTGTAAAACAGTACCCCCTATGTACAGGTTTTATGGCGTTTTGGGAAGTTACAGGGTCAAATATAGCACGTTACATTTGAAATTGAAATTCGCCAGATTGGTTACGTTGCCTTTGGGACTTTATAGTAGCCCAGGAAAGAAATTTACACCCATAATGGCATATCATTTGCAATAGTAGACAACCCAAGGTATTGCAAATGGGGTATGTCCAGTCTTTTTTAGTAGCCATTTGGTCACAAACACTGGCCAAAGTTAGCGTTAGTATTTGTTTGTGTGTGAAAAATGCAAAAAACGCCAATTTTGGCCAGTGTTTGTGACTAAGTGGCTACTAAAAAAGACTGGACATACCCTGTTTGCAATACCTTGGGTTGTCTACTATTGCAAATGGTATGCCATCATAGGGGTAATTTTCATTCTTGGGCTACCATAGGGTCTCAAAGGCAACGTAACCAATCTGGCGAATTTTAATGTGAAAAAAATGAAACACAAGCCTTATATTTGACGCTGTAACTTTTGAAAACACCATAAAACCTGTACATGAGGGGTACTGTTGTACTCGGGAGACTTCGCTGAACACAAATATTTGTGTTTCAAACCAGTAAAAAGTATCGCAGCAATAATATTGTCCGTGTAAGTGCTGTTTGTGCGTGAAAAATGCAAAAAACTTCACTTTTACTGGCGATATCATCGTTGTAATACAATTTACTGTTTTGAAACACTAATATTTGTGTTCAGCGAAGTCCCCCGAGTAGAACAGTACCCCCCATGTACAGGTTTTATGGTGTCTTGGAAAGTTATAGGGTTAAATATAGTGCTAGCAAATTAAATTCCCTTTACTTTCAGCATGGGTTGTCAGGCAGGTCCCGCTAATTGTAATTAATTAAGATACCCAATTATGTAAAAATATTACATAAATATATATGTAGAATTAATATATGTATATATATACTTATGTGAATATATATGTATATATAATTTTTTTTAAATATTTTTATTTATATATAGGTATATTTATAGTGATATATACGTATATATTTATGTATATAGATATATATATTATTTCGTTCTACGTGTATTTTGATATAAATATATATATATATTAATATCACAATACAGTTAGAACGAAATAACACACATCTATATATTTTTAAATTATTTTTTAATTATTTTTTAATTTTATTTTTTAACGTATTTACATATTACAATTTTTTATATTATATATAAATATATATATAACAATAATTATATATATATATTTAATCAGTATCAGTCTATGTGTAATTTGATATTAATATATATATATATATATATATATAACTATATATATAGTAATAGTAAAATACACCTAGACAGTGTATGTGTGTGTATGTATATGTGTATATATATATACTTAGTTCATATATATATATAATATATATATATGATCTAAGCATATATTATTATTTTTTTTACACTTTTTAATTTATTTGATTTTATTTTCAGCCAGCAGGGGGACCACCTGTCATTACAGGCAACCCCCCTGCTGGCAATGCTGCAGCCAGCTATCCCGGCCATGTGATTGTGAGGTCCTCGCAAGCACCTCACTCTCACATGGCCGGGGGTTGCAGGAGGAAGATCTGCTGCGGGGGTGCTCCCTGGGAGTCCCACCCACCGCGATCGCCGGGTAAGTAAGGAAAGACCGGAGGGCGTACTATTACGCCCGGCGGCGTTTAGAGCCGCCTAAAATAGGGCGTAATAGTACGCCCTCCGGTCTTAAGGGGTTAACACATCCTACATTGCATTAAAAATATGTAAAGATTAAAACTTAACTTTTGTTAGTAAATAGAATAAAAATGTGGATGTCAGGGACAACTGCCATGTCAGATGGTTGCACGGCAAGTGAGCTGCATGGAAACCATGTTAAAGGATAGGATTGTTGAACATCTAAAAACACATGGATTTCAAGATCAGAGACAACATGGGTTTACTTCAGGGAGATCATGCAAAACTAATCTTATTGATTTTTTTGATAAGGTAACTAAAATTATAGATCAGGGTGGTGCAGTAGACATTGCTTACCTAGATTTCAGTAAGGCTTTTGACACTGTGGCACATAGAAGGCTTATCAATAAACTGCAATCTTTAAGTTTGGATTCCAATATTGTTGAATGGGTAAGGCAGTGGATGAGTAACAGGCAACAGAGGGTTGTAGTTAATGGAATATATTCGAAGCTTGGACTTGTCACCAGTGGGGTACCTCAGGGATCTGTACTTGGACCCATTCTCTTTAATAATTTTATTAGTGATATTGCAGAAGGTCTTGATGGTAAGGTATGTCTTTTTGCTGATGATACTAAGATATGTAACAGGGCTGATGTTCCAGGAGGGATAAGCCAAATGGCAAATGATTTAGGTAAACTAGAAAAATGGTCAGAGTTGTGGCAACTGACATTTAATGTGGATAAGTGCAAGATAATGCATCTTGGACGTAAAAACCCAAGGGAAGAGTACAGAATATTTGATAGAGTCCTAACCTCAACATATGAGGAAAGGGATTTAGGAGTGATTAGTTCTGATGACTTAAAGGTAGACAGACAATGTAATAGAGCAGCAGGAAATGCTAGCAGAATGCTTGGTTGTATAGGGAGAGGTATTAGCAGTAGAAAGAGGGAAGTGCTCATGCCATTGTACAGAACACTGGTGAGACCTCACTTGGAGTATTGTACACAGTACTGAGACCGTATCTTCAGAAGGATATTGATACCTTAGAGAGGGTTCAGAGAAGGGCTACTAAACTGGTTCATGGATTGCGGGATAAAACTTACCAGGAAAGGTTAAAGGATCTTAACATGTATAGCTTGGAGGAAAGACGAGACAGGGGGGATATGATAGAAACATTTAAATATATAAAGGAATCAACACAGTAAAGGAGGAGACTATATTTAAAAGAAGAAAAACTACCACAACAAGAGGACATAGTCTTAAATTAGAGGGACAAAGGTTTAAAAATATCAGGAAGTATTACTTTACTGAGAGGGTAGTGGATGCATGGAATAGCCTTCCAGCTGAAGTGGTAGAGGTCAACACAGTAAAGGAGTTTAAGCATGCGTGGGATAGGCATAAGGCTATCCTAACTATAAGATAAGGCCAGGGACTAATGAAAGTATTTAGAACATTGGGCAGACTAGATGGGCCGAATGGTTCTTATCTGCCGTCACATTCTGTGTTTCTATGTTTCTATGTTTCTATTTGGAAGCTACCTGGCTCTATTTTTGATGAATAACCACTGTGTTGACTACAGGGAGTGCAGAATTATTAGGCAAATGAGTATTTTGACCACATCATCCTCTTTATGCATGTTGTCTTACTCCAAGCTGTATAGGCTCGAAAGCCTACTACCAATTAAGCATATTAGGTGATGTGCATCTCTCTAATGAGAAGGGGTGTGGTCTAATGACATCAACACCCTATATCAGGTGTGCATAATTATTAGGCAACTTCCTTTCCTTTGGCAAAATGGGTCAAAAGAAGGACTTGACAGGCTCAGAAAAGTCAAAAATAGTGAGATATCTTGCAGAGGGATGCAGCACTCTTAAAATTGCAAAGCTTCTGAAGCGTGATCATCGAACAATCAAGCGTTTCATTCAAAATAGTCAACAGGGTCGCAAGAAGCGTGTGGAAAAACCAAGGCGCAAAATAACTGCCCATGAACTGAGAAAAGTCAAGCGTGCAGCTGCCACGATGCCACTTGCCACCAGTTTGGCCATATTTCAGAGCTGCAACATCACTGAGTGCCCAAAAGCACAAGGTGTGCAATACTCAGAGACATGGCCAAGGTAAGAAAGGCTGAAAGAAGACCACCACTGAACAAGACACACAAGCTGAAACGTCAAGACTGGGCCAAGAAATATCTCAAGACTGATTTTTCTAAGGTTTTATGGACTGATGAAATGAGAGTGAGTCTTGATGGGCCAGATGGATGGGCCCGTGGCTGGATTGGTAAAGGGCAGAGAGCTCCAGTCCGACTCAGACACCAGCAAGGTGGAGGTGGAGTACTGGTTTGGGCTGGTATCATCAAAGATGAGCTTGTGGGGCCTTTTCGGGTTGAGGATGGAGTCAAGCTCAACTCCCAGTCCTACTGCCAGTTCCTGGAAGACACCTTCTTCAAGCAGTGGTACAGGAAGAAGTCTGCATCCTTCAAGAAAAACATGATTTTCATGCAGGACAATGCTCCATCACACGCGTCCAAGTACTCCACAGCGTGGCTGGCAAGAAAGGGTATAAAAGAAGAAAATCTAATGACATGGCCTCCTTGTTCACCTGATCTGAACCCCATTGAGAACCTGTGGTCCATCATCAAATGTGAGATTTACAAGGAGGGAAAACAGTACACCTCTCTGAACAGTGTCTGGGAGGCTGTGGTTGCTGCTGCACGCAATGTTGATGGTGAACAGATCAAAACACTGACAGAATCCATGGATGGCAGGCTTTTGAGTGTCCTTGCAAAGAAAGGTGGCTATATTGGTCACTGATTTGTTTTTGTTTTGTTTTTGAATGTCAGAAATGTATATTTGTGAATGTTGAGATGTTATATTGGTTTCACTGGTAATAATAAATAATTGAAATGGGTATATATTTGTTTTTGTTAAGTTGCCTAATAATTATGCACAGTAATAGTCACCTGCACACACAGATATCCCCCTAACATAGCTATAACTAAAACAAACTAAAAACTACTTCCAAAAATATTCAGCTTTGATATTAATGAGTTTTTTGGGTTCATTGAGAACATGGTTGTTGTTCAATAATAAAATTAATCCTCAAAAATACAACTTGCCTAATAATTCTGCACACCCTGTATATTGTTGTTGTACACCGGGATGACCTATGTGGCTTTTACCCACTGTTCGTGTTTGGTATTGGGGCCTAGTCGGGGCCTGGCTCGGGTAGGCAGCTGATCCATCGCCTTGTACCTGACACATCTGGGTGCGGAAGATATTCCTTGGGTCTGTTTAGACAAGTGGGGTGATCCTGGGCCTCAAAGTGTATCTGCTAGTCTGGGTGATGGATTATACCTTGAAACTGAGGCACATTGCAGTGTGTTTGAAAATGGCCGACCACTTGCATATACCAGTTTTCAGCATTGCAGTTGGGGACTATATTGTCCAAATGTATGTATGAAGTTCTGGGCAAAGTTGCATCAGCAATTGCTCCTCCTTGCTTTCTAGATGAAAGTAAATGACAACACAGATGGCATTGCCGATCGGCAGCTCCTGACATATATACTGACACTTTCATGTTCCAACTACCCTCCCAGGATGAGAGCCGGTTGGGGTATGCCTCATTTGTGGAGGACCACTCAGAGGTGACGCCGTAGTCTTTGGTTTCAATACCTAAACAGACCCTCTGGGGGAAGAATTCGAGCACTATCAGTCGTTCGACTCATGGTGACTCATGTTGGCTCCCTTTCAGGTTAAGGGCTGATGTGCTGCTACTACTACCTGGCATCACTGTCATGCTCTGTTCAGTGGGCTCTGCAAGACTATTCTACATATCCCCAGCATTGGAGTCGGCTGACTGTTGATGGCCCTCTCTTAGACCTTATTTTTGTGCTTTCAACTCAGCACTGTACACCCTATTTCTGGGTGTGTTTTAATTAATGCTCCAGCCATGACCATATTCGGGAAAGAGTGTAAGAATAAGGATTTCTATTCATAAACAGAACGTGAGATCACGCATTTAAACTGGAAGAAAGGAGATTTAGTATAAGGCAAAGGAAAGGGTTTTTTATTGTAAGAACAATAAGGAAGTGGAATTCTCTGCCTGAAGAAGTGGTTTTATCAGAGTCCGTACTGATATTTAAACCGCAATTGGATGAATACTTAAAAAAATGTATATCTAATAATAAAAAAATAATAATATATAATATTTAGGGATATATTTAATACAATGTCTAAACGCTATAACTCTTGACTAACTATGATATCCATTCTGGTGTTGTAAATAGTATCTACATTCTATCTGACATGGTAATAATGGCATTGTGGTAAAAGCTACATTGTGTGTATTCATAAGGTTGGTAGAAGATTTCTGTGGATAAAGCAAGTCTTATGGCTTAACTGGTGTGTGTAGGTCTGTGTTTAACATTGTATTATCCACTGACTTCCGGTGGAAGGGGTTTTCAATCACTATTTTCCCCCACCATAACTTTCTTGCTTTGTGCTCCCAAGTAACACCAAGCTTCAATAGCCAGCCAGTTACCAACCTCGTCCTGATGAGTTGCATTAACATCGAAACACGACTGGTCCATCAGCCTTGCATCTCTTCCTAAATTGTGTTTTAAATCTGTTGTATCCAGCAAACAGAAACTTCAGGGAATCCATGTTTAAAATGGAATAATGAGGCAAAAAGGTGGTTCTTTGAGAGAGAGAGAAGACTTAAGAGAGAGAGAGAGAGATGTATTAAGGAGGTTTTGAAATGTAATAAGCATGAAAATCAGAAACAATTAATGATCTCAGATTTGCAATATATTCACTCCCCGCCAGATGACTAGACAGCCATATAATTACTTTATTACACACCTAAGGCATGCAAGCTTCCTTAGATATCCATTCTACCCATCGGCTGTGAGTGACATCTCGTACAGTATTACCTACCTCTGTCCTACTTATCCAGATGGTCAAAGAGCACTTTATCAGACAGGGGAGAAAACATTAACCCTTTCTGTATCAAGGACATCAGACTAAATCTATATATGATGTCATACTGTGCAGGTCATACTGATGGAGAGTGTCGATATATATGATGTCATACGGTGCAGGTCATACTGATGGAGGGGGCTGCTATATATGATGTCATACTATGCAGGTCATACTGATGGAGAATGTCGATATATATGATGTCATACGGTGCTGGCCATACTGATGGAGGGGTCTGCTATAAATGATGTTGTACGTTGCAGCTCATACTGATGGAGGGGGCTGCTATATATGATGTCATACGGTGCAGCGCATACTGATGGAGGGGGCTGCTATATATGATGTCATACGGTGCAGCTCATACTGATGGAGGGGGCTGCTATATATGATGTCATACGGTGCAGCGCATACTGATGGAGGGGGCTGCTATATATGATGTCATACGGTGCAGCTCATACTGATGGAGGGGGCTGCTATATATGATGTCATACGTTGCAGCTCATACTGATGGAGGGGGCTGCTATATATGATGTCATACGGTGCAGCTCATACTGATGGAGGGGGCTGCTATATATGATGTCATACGGTGCAGCTCATACTGATGGAGGGGGCTGCTATATATGATGTCATACGGTGCAGCTCATACTGATGGAGGGGGCTATATATGATGTCATGCTATATGTGATGATGTCATACGTGCTGCAGCTGATGGAGGGCTGCTATATATGATGTCTGTGCAGCTCATACTGATGGAGGGGCTGCTATATATGATGTCATACGGTGCAGCTCATACTGATGGAGGGGGCTGCTATATATGATGTCATACGGTGCAGCTCATACTGATGGAGGGGCTGCTATATATGATGTCATACGGTGCAGCGCATACTGATGGAGGGGGCTGCTATATATGATGTCATACGGTGCAGGTCATACTGATGGAGGGGACTGCTATATATGATGTCATACGGTGCAGGTCATACTGATGGAGGGGGCTGCTATATATGATGTCATACGGTGCAGGTCATACTGATGGAGGGGGCTGCTATATATGATGTCATACGGTGCAGCTCATACTGATGGAGGGGGCTGCTATATATGATGTCATACGGTGCAGCTCATACTGATGGAGGGGGCTGCTATATATGATGTCATACGGTGCAGGTCATACTGATGGAGGGGGCTGCTATATATGATGTCATACGGTGCAGCTCATACTGATGGAGGGGGCTGCTATATATGATGTCATACGGTGCAGGTCATACTGATGGAGGGGGCTGCTATATATGATGTCATACGGTGCAGGTCATACTGATGGAGGGGACTGCTATATATGATGTCATACTGTGCAGGTCATACTGATGGAGAGTGTCGATATATATGATGTCATACGGTGCAGCTCATACTGATGGAGGGGGCTGCTATAAATGATGTTGTACGTTGCAGCTCATACTGATGGAGGGGGCTGCTATATATGATGTCATACGGTGCAGGTCATACTGATGGAGGGGGCTGCTATTTATGATGTCATACGGTGCAGGTCATACTGATGGAGGGGGCTGCTATATATGATGTCATACGCTGCAGGTCATACTGATGGAGGGTGTCGATATATATGATGTCATACGGTGCAGTTCATTCTGATGGAGAGTGTCGATATATATGATGTCACGCTGTGCAGGTCATACTGAAGGAGAGTGTCAATATATATGATGTCACGCTGTGCAACTCCATCCGTTGAAGTCGTATATTGCCTTCTCGCTGGGTCTGACCTTCCACATAAAGATCTATAGGATTCATGTGCAAACATTTCTTTGTGCTTGCTCCCCAAAAGAGAAGAAGTGTGGTTGGTGGATGTATAACTGTCCATGCGTGTCTCATGCTATGCCACCACCCAAATGCTAATCTCAACAAAGTGAAATGAAAACTGTGACAATGACTTTGGAAAGTTACAATAAATGTAAATATTAATATATAGTCTAGAGGAATAACAAGGACATACACAGCCCCATAGATTCCATAACACGGCGTCTCTCATCCTTCTACATTCCATCAAACTTTCTTTTTCCCAAGCTCACATGACGGGGCTTAGAGAAGGAGCCAAGACTTAGAATGTGACAGTAAGGGTGTTAATGTAGACACAGCAGGAGAGGGGACGTGTATAAATAGGACAACATGTTTTTCTAATGGGAATAAAAAGTAAAAAAAAAAAACATATGCAGAAGTAGAAATGTGAGATGGGTCAGAGAATAATCTACTGCATTAGCACAAAGAGGTAAAGATTAAACCATGACACAGCTAGGTGACAGGTAGTGCACCAGCTGGAGGAGCTCTATACATAAATACCTTTGACACAAACTAAGATCACATTCTTCTCTCAACAAAACTCTCCGTTCATGACTCGCAGCTAACCTCCAGATTCCTGCATGAACACAGGTGGGATTAGTGCTGGTTGGGATACCAATGAGATTCATAATGTCATATGTCATATTTAGAGTCTGAAAACTTTACCTAACTTTTATGAATGCTGGCTACATCTGTTATCTCATACAATGTCTAAATGCTGTAACTCACCTATGGAATATGCACTTAATATATGATATCCATTCTATTATTGTAAATAGTATCTACGTGGTAATTATAGCATTGTGTTAAGAGCCATATTGTGTGAAGTAATGTCATGTTGGTAGAAGATGAGGTGGTGTAACACTGTGTGAAGTAATGTCATGTTGGTAGAAGATGAAGAAGTGCAACATTGTGTGAAGTAGCAAAAAAGAAAAGATCTGTCCCTAAAGATAGTATGCATAAAGGTAATAACTTCTCAAATCTCAAAAATATTTTATTAAACCGAAAAAACTCACATACAATAAACCAAGCAAACCCTGACTGTAGCTACCTAACTCATAAATACGAGTCAATTGCAGCAGTCTACGCAAGGAGCACAAATAAAAGGAAAAGGGAGTGAGAAATAACACATAAAAGTGTAAATAGTGGAAAGAATGAACTGAGCTGGCACTCTCCCCCTGATGAGCCTCTAACTCAGGCGAAACGCGGGTCGGGATTGACACTTACCCGAGATTTATTGAGGATTGACACTTACCCGAGATTTACTGTCATTCCTGTTTTCTTGGTGCTTTTCCCTTTCGGTGAATATCTTTTACCGCCGGCTACATTGTACAGTCGTTTGGGACTTCCAAAATCTTGACGGTTGACCGCCGTCTTAGCGAAACAGGGAAATCCAATACCAATCAGGGTTTTTTCTTCACGACTAATTTGAATCTGCAGTACTCTGATATTACAAGTGTCCTACTCTATATACAGGGATTAGACTCAAATCTTTACTCTATACTACTTTACTATACAAGGTGCCCACGAAGGCACTATTCTTACTACTTTATTCTTTACTAATTACTTTCTATAGTCCTACTGTCATGTATCATACACATGTGGGTTACTGATTTTGCGAAACCTCAGTTCCCACTATCAATCAACATGAGTAGTAAGCTTACGGTTTAAGGATTTTATATCTGCCAGTACGACTAATCCCACCACTATTAGGCAGCCAAGTCAGCCCCTGTCTCCAGCTTTAATGCGGACACTAGCATTAGTGAGACATATATGGCTTGCTGGCAATTAGTTTGTGCTCTTTAGAATTGATTTTTTGGCTGAATAGCCCTTTGGCAACCTGTTTAGCACATTAGTTTACCATATCGCTACATATGTACCATGTACTCTTGATACATCGGTGCACACTGTTATTGATAGTTGCGTGGAACATACTAAGAGCTACAACATTTAGTATCAGACACGTGTCTGATATACTGCTGCATTGACATTCATTGTTGCCAATGCAGTGACTGTCTTAAAGGGCTTTTTTGATACCTTTTGTCAATTGATCTTTTCTAATATATGTGACAGTTTTATACTGAGCTTTGGCCTATTGTATGATTAACGATACTAGTTTTCCGCATGGTTAAGATATTATCCAGTAGATTTGATATTTCTTCATTTACTACCAGATATTGACATATATAATTTTGTGCCAGCTCAGTTCGTTCTTTCCACTATTTACACTTTTATGTGTTATTTCTCACTCCCTTTTCCTTTTATTTGTGCTCCTTTACGTAGACTGCCGCAATTGACTCGTATTTATGAGTTAGGTAGCTACAGTCAGGGTTTGCTTTGTTTATTGTATGTGAGTTTTTTCAGTTAAATAAAATATTTTAGAGATTTTAAAGTTATTACCTTTATGCATACTATCTTTTGGGACAGATCTTTTCTTTTTCTTTTTAGCTACAAATCTCATTAGGGTTACCCCCTGTTCTGTTCCCTTGGACTTTTAGCCAACCACGCATTATCTATTGTGTGAAGTAATGTCAGGTTGGTGGTAGAAGATGAGGTGGTGTAACACTGTGTGGAGTAATGCCAGGTTGGTAGAAGATGAAGAGATGTAACATTGTGTCAAATAATATCAGGTTGGTAGAAGATGAAGAGATGTAACATTGTGTGAAGTAATGTCAGGTTGGTAGAAGATGAGGAGGTGTAACACTGTGTGAAGTAATATCAGGTTGGTAGAAGATGAAGAGATGTAACACTGTGTGGAGTAATGTCAGGTTGGTAGAAGATGAGGAGGTGTAACATTGTGTGAAGTAATATCAGGTTGGTAGAAGATGAGGTGGTGTAACACTGTGTGAAGTAATGTCAGGTTGGTGGTAGAAGATGGGGTGGTGTAACATTGTGTGAAGTAATGTCTGGTTGGTGGTAGAAGATGAAGAGATGTAACATTGTGTGAAATAATACCAGGTTGGTAGAAGATGAAGAGGTGTAACACTGTGTGAAGTAATGTCAGGTTGGTGGTAGAAGATGAGGTGGTGTAACACTGTGTGAAGTAATGTCAGGTTGGTAGAAGATGAAGAGATGTAACATTGTGTGAAGTAATGTCAGGCTGGTAGAAGATGAAAAGGTGTAACATTGTTTGAAGTAATGTCAGGTTGGTAGACGATGAGGAGGTGTAACATTGTGTGAAGTAATGTCAGGTTGGGGGTTGAAGATGAAGAGGTGTAACATTGTGTGAAGTAATGTCAGGTTGGTAGAAGATGAGGAGGTGTAACATTGTGTGAAGTAATATCATGTTGGTAGAAGATGAGGAGGTGTAACATTGTGTGAAGTAATGTCAGGTTGGTAGACGATGAGGAGGTGTAACATTGTGTGAAGTAATGTCAGGTTGGGGGTTGAAGATGAAGAGGTGTAACATTGTGTGAAGTAATGTCAGGTTGGTAGAAGATGAGGAGGTGTAACATTGTGTGAAGTAATATCATGTTGGTAGAAGATGAGGAGGTGTAACATTGTGTGAAGTAATGTCAGGTTGGTAGACGATGAGGAGGTGTAACATTGTGTGAAGTAATGTCAGGTTTGGGGTTGAAGATGAAGAGGTGTAACATTGTGTGAAGTAATGTCAGGTTGGTAGAAGATGAAAAGGTGTAACATTGTGTGAAGTAATGTCAGGTTGGTGGTAGAAGATGAGGTGGTGTAACACTGTGTGGAGTAATGTCAGGTTGGTAGAAGATGAAGAGATGTAACATTGTGTGAAGTAATGTCAGGCTGGTAGAAGATGAAAAGGTGTAACATTGTTTGAAGTAATGTCAGGTTGGTAGATGATGAGGAGGTGTAACATTGTGTGAAGTAATGTCAGGTTTGGGGTTGAAGATGAGGAGGTGTAACATTGTGTGAAGTAATGTCAGGTTGGTAGAAGATGAGGAGGTGTAACATTGTGTGAAGTAATATCATGTTGGTAGAAGATGAGGAGGTGTAACATTGTGTGAAGTAATGTCAGGTTGGTGGTAGAAGATGAAGAGATGTAACATTGTGTGAAGTAATGTCAGGTTGGTAGAAGATGAAGAGGTGTAGACATGTGCACCAGTGTAATTTATGTTTCTTACGAATGATTTCGTACTAAATAAAAATTTCATTCGTCAATCCCAAATTTCATCCACAAACTATTCATTTTCGAGTGAAATTCAGTAAAAAAATTATTTTAGCAAGAAGTTTAGCAATAGCTGCCCAGTCACTAGTAATTTTAAGTGACAGAGAGCAGCCGCTGGCTGTTTAGGCAACATGCCCCTACTCGCGGCTTACCGCGAGTATGGGCATGCGGGAATATTTAACCTCCCTTTTATTAATATGTTGGTCATAGTGACCCCCATAGGTTTTAATGCGGGGGGGGGGTGGAATTAATATTTATTACAAGGAGGGAGCTAGCAGCGCTGCCAGCACCCTCCTTGTTGTTTTTTTCGTGCATGCGCACTGTTATTTCTCCGTGCTGTGAGGGTTAGTACCCTTCAGCACGGAGTCTATTAAATAAACTAAATGAAACGAAACGAAAAGGTAATGCATTTGCCCTTTCATTTCGTTTGTAGGGCTTTCGTTTACGTTTTAGTAAACGAATACGAAAATCCTTGAATTTTCATATGAAATCGTATTCATACGAAAATGAATGCACATGTCTAAAGAGATGTAACACTGTGTGGAGTAATGTGAAGTAATGTTTTAATAATATATCAATGTGGGGCCATTTACTAAAGTCCGTATGTCCTTGTACCAAATAAGAAAAAAACATTTGGTGTTTTACGGGGCCATTTGGATGGCAAAATCCAGATATTGCTCACAGTGTTCATCTATGTCCAGAATGAGCTTGATTTTGGTGTGAATTTCAGTGATACAGAATGCTACCAAAGAGCTAAAATCTTTACCAGGGTTTTTGAAATGAGATCCCGGATTCTAGATCAGAACTATTTACCTGATTTCAGCGTCAGCAGTCAGTGATTAAATAATAAAAAAAACAGAACTTTGTTGAAAGGATTAAGGTCTCCATTTTATATTTTTGAATAAGTTTTCCAAAGGATTTAATGATACATTTTAGATGATGTTTTCATATTAAGATTTTAAATATAACTAAATATATATATATATCATTACAATAAAATATCAATATGTAAAAAAATATCAAAACATTAAAATATTTTTAAATAAGTAATTGCAAAAGTTTATCCAAAAATATTAAGTTCTGTGGCAGCTGACCCCTTGCTAGCCATCCACTTCATTTAAAAGTAATAAACAAAAATAATAAATAAATAAATAAAACATTTTTAAAAATCTATGGGGTCAATATGACCCACATTTCAGTACAGAGGAGGCCGAAAAAGCCTCCATCATACACTATGCATTGTGTCGTGGGTGCGGGCCTATGTACTATACATTGAGCTCGATGTATTAACTCTAGCCCCTGTGCATGATATATCTATCCTTCTTAGTAAAGACATTTTTTATTATTGTTTTATTATCTAATTTGTTTAAGATATTAATTCATGACTATCTCAGCAGTTTTACATTTCACAGACTATCAGCCCCCCAAGAAGAGAATATAAATGAGGGCGAGGAGTGAAGTATTGCGTGGTATAGTGGGAACATAGATCTATAGTACATCTATATATGTTGATTTAATCCGTAAACACCCCAACATTCATTTATCAGAACTGGGGAGCAATAAATGGGAGGGATTGTAGCCCTCTCAACACGATGCATGGTTAGATTGAATATTAGATAAAATAAGAACCATCAATTATTAGTACAGGATCTCAGAGATATTCTTTAATATGTCTTTGAATTAAACACCAGTTTCATTATAGAATGGATCTAGCAGCCCTTGACGATATCGCTAAATCCTTGGAGGGCATTGATCTGTCCATAGGATCTGTAGATGGCATTCAACTTCCTCAGATCACATGTGATGCGTGGGACATCATACAAAATTTCCAAGCTCGTGAAGATGACATCTTGGTGGCAACTTACCCTAAAGCAGGTGAGTAAGACTTTGAGCATTCCATTTATAGATTTAGGATTTCAAGAAATAAATCATATCAAGCAATAAACATTTCTTTAAAAATCTAATGTAATTTACATTTACTACAAGAATAAAAATGTTTAAAATGGGGGTTCCAAGCCACAACTCTTTAGAAGAAGTTAGACCTTTCTGAGTTCTGTTCTGTAACATACATTTGATGAGGAAGTATTTTTGGAACGAGGAGGCGTGGCCAAGGAGGCCGTCTTATGGCACAACTGTCTGCAAAACATTTATTTATCGCTGTGCGAATACTATACAGAGTGGGGCATGCAAAAACACAGCAATAATGAGGTTCAAAATCCATCAAATGCATTAAAGTTGTGTTGGTGCCCAGAGTGTCCCTTTAATAATACCATAACTGATGGCAAAAATACAATCATTTGTTCAGGATAAAAATCACTACTTAAAGATTTTTACAAAGTTTGTGAGACTTGGTTTGTAAGGTGATAGAATGTGTACATAAAGGACCAGCAGTAGCTCTGTATCAGTTCGTCCAGGCCTTTGGCTACTGCACTCTCTGATTCAGGATACAGGTACGGAGTCATAGAAGGACACCAAATGAGCTGATTGGTCCACAGGTGATATACAGAATGCCTTGTCTGTGCCTTTTCCCCTGAGCGTTCTCTAGGCTGGCATACTAAACCAATGTACCCCCCTTCCCCCCCTCCCCCCCTCCGCAGTGCTAATTAAACAGAAATAAATGGGTTACTACCGCCTGTGGTTGCTTCTTCCTAGTTGTGCCCAGTCCTAGAGTGATTATAGCTGCGAGCCAGTAATTATAGACGCTTGCAAAAGGGCAATTGTAGTATCAGCCAAACACTAGTCGAGACTTAGTGATGGGTAATGAAGAACTGTTTATTATAGGCAAGATACATGGTATTTATGCACCGACCGTGGCAGGTTGTCTCAATTTACAGCAATACAAAACATAAGCCCACCCCGGCGTCGCTGTGTCTGGGAGATAATGGTAATGGTATCTCCCGAACACAGGGAGCCAAACACACACACAAAAAAAAAAAAAATACACATCATACAGTAATGTACCCCACATGCCATACATCCCCAAATAGCTCCTGGTCCCAGCTATGATCCCTGTAAATTGTGGAGCTATCGGATGTACAGAGCCCAAGAAATCATCGGACAAAGTCTGGGCTTGAGGCTTTGTACATACCCGAAAATAGCTCCACAGAATCGCTTGTTTTCGGCCGGTGGATTCAAATCTCACGCCTAATCCACACAACGGCCAATCAGGAGTAAGGGCGTGAACCAATTTGCACCAATCAGCACTTAGGGAGGAGAGGTGTGTCGCCAGCCAATTGGGAGAAAGGGCGCAAAACCAGTGTGAATGGTAGCACTTCTCCCATTGGTCGGCACGGGTTTCCAGACGGCCAGCGGGACCCTGCGGCTGTGAAGCCATGTCATAGTTCCATGGGACTTGGGTCTCTCTCCAGTGGATATCTCCACGTGGGTAGCACTGGAGAGAGCGCTTTTTGGCGGTTAGCCCGTCACAAAGAGTATGAAAACATGTGAAAATTAAATGTGGTTCCAACATTTCTCTGCGTAACCCAATGATAAACCGTATCCATTCAAATCTTTCATAGCGGCTCAGAATACCCCGTTAGATCTGTAAAACAAACTGTTTTTCTTTTGCACAAGAACATTTAGAATTAAGGAGAATACAGACTTGTTTCCTTGGCAGAACGACATGCAAGAACGCTGTTACTAATTGTTATTTTGATTATCTTGATACAAAGAAGGTATTTTCGTACTATTTTTGCATATTTTGCTCTGGGCAAAAAATGATTTGGATATAGAGCTGATGTCACTAGCAATGACTAGATTTTGCAATGCAAGGTTTGTAGACTAGGCTCCCCACAATGCTTTGCCAGCCTCTGAGGAAGAGGAGCAATATGGGAAATGTAACAAACATTTTCAGAAACAATATGAGCATTGCTGCCCTATTATCTTCATGACACAGCTGAGCTGGCACACAGCACACATTGCTACTAATTAACCAGAATCATTTCACAACAGAGCAAAGTATCTCTGATAAGAGACGCCGATCTGGGAGTAAAAGTACCATAAACACATCTCAACTGAGCTGAAGATAATTGGTATATTTTAAGAACATATTATCGCGCAGTCACAGAGAGGATAAAGGGTAAACACAATCATGTCACATTTTACTTATATCCATAAACAAGCTTTTACGATTTTTGTCTTTGTTTGCTTTGAAGGACAATTTTGATATTATTACCAATACGATTAGACACAACCCTTTATAACATAAGGATTACACGAGAGCTGTTTAGGGAATATAGCAGAGCCGGGCATTAAACCCTTCACTAGCCGCTAACAAGCAATAAAGTTTCACCAACAAAACTTGCTGCAGGTAGGAGTAGAGAGGAAGCAACCTTGTATGGTCCCTCCGCAGAGATGCAGAGGGACAGAACGGCAGAGATGTGTTTCTCTGCATGTTGAAAAACAATTCTGGCGCAAATAGTAAATTATGTGAAGCTTCATGGTCTAAATTCCATGTTTCATTAGCAAAACAATACTTATCACATTTATGCATATTGCTGGAAGGAACGATGTTTCATTGACATTAAAGTGTAACTATCCGAGTGCACACAGTGTAGCACACATTACAAGACAATCTGCATAAAATATACAATAGGAGAATAGTGAGCACAAAGCCATCACAAACAGCGCTATAAATGCTGTTAAAAGAACACTGTAGTCACTTAAATTACTTTAGCTAAATAAAGCAGTTTTAGTGTATAGATCATTCCCCTGCAATTTCACTGCTCAATTCACTGTCATTTAGGAGTTAAATCACTTTGTTTCTGTTTATGCAGCCCTAGCCACACCTCCCCTGGCTATGATTGACAGAGCCTGCATTAAAAAAAAACTGGTTTCACTTTCAAACAGATGTAATTTACCTTAAATAATTGTATCTCAATCTCTAAATTGAACTTTAATCACATACAGGAGGCTCTTGCAGGGTCTAGCAAGCTATTAACATAGGAGGGGATAAGAAAATCTTAATTAAACAGAACTTGCAATAAAGAAAGCCTAAATAGGGCTCTCTTTACAGGAAGTTTTTATGGAAGGCTGTGCAAGTCACATGCAGGGAGGTGTGACTGGGGTTCATAAACAAAGGGATCTAACTCCTAAATGGCAGAGGATTGAGCAGTGAGGCTGCAGGGGCATGTTCTATGCACCAAGACTGCTTCATTAAGCTAAAGTTGTTCAGGTGACTATAGTGTCCCTTTAAGCTAAAACAAATAAATCTCTGTCTCAGATTCGAACAAACCTTCGCTACAAGCATTCACCCTTCTTACCTGCCCAACTCTGACTGGTCCGCTACTAGATATAGAAACGCATCATTATTTATCAGAATCGTGTCCCGTAATACAGAGAGACAACAGATGTGATACGTATACCATATGTGCAATTTATTATCCTGGCCCACAAGAGTTGTGAAATTGATTTATCAATCTCTGTGCACCGTGAAATATTAGGGATGTGTTTGTTAGAGGAAGATATGGCAATATGTTGTTAAGTTTTTCCAATGCAGAAACCAATCAGTTCTTATCAATAGATACACAGAATGTTTAATAAACCCGATGTATTATCGCCATCTAATTGATCAATTTGTAGATAATCAGATAGAATGAAACAAATATGTCATTACTTGGGGTCTGTTTGTAGGGACCACATGGGCTCATGAGATCGTGGATCTGATCCTTCTAGAGGGCGACACAAAGAAAGCCCAGCGGGCACCGTGCTTTATCAAAGTGCCATTCATCGACCTGGTTCTTCCAAAGCCAGCGAAGTCAGGTAAAAACACAGAGAAAAGATACTGTATTTATAGTATAACAGGGAATAATGATACCTTTCATTTTAGCTGTGGAGGTTGCCAATGAAATGGAATCACCGCGTTTACTAAAAACTCACCTCCCGATACAGCTGGTACCACCCTCCTTCTGGGAAAAAAATGCAAAGGTAAAACTCCTCCCTATAACTCCTTCTGTTACTCCATATAACCCTCCCTATAACTCCTCCTATTACTCCATATAACCCTCTCTATAACTCCTCCTATTACTCCATATAACCCTCCCTATAACTCCTCCTATTACTCCATATAACCCTCCCTATAACTCCTCCTATTACTCCATATAACCTCCCTATAACTCCTCGTATTACTCCATATTACCCTCCCTATAACTCCTCCTATTACTCCATATTACCCTCCATATAACTCCTACTATTACTCCCTATAACCCCTCCTCTTTCGCCATTTCCCGTGCAGGTTGATCATGTTATATAGTATAATGCAGTCATATTTCTCCTCCTGCAGGTCGTATACGTTGCAAGGAATGCCAAGGACTGTATGGTTTCCTACTATTACTTCCAGAAGATGAATAAAGGTCTCCCAGACCCTGGGACCTGGGATAATTACTTCTCATCTTTCCTGTCTGGAGAAGGTGAGTCACTTGAAACATTGGGACTTTCATGGTATTATCTAAATGAGAATAAGTAAGGTTGAAATCAATTGGTTGCATATCTCTGACTATGTAGATCGAGTCAGTGGTGACATTGGTTATATAATGTTATTTATTTATCCTAGTTCCCTGGGGAAGCTGGAGTCATTGTTTGACCATGTAGATAAAGTCAGTGGTGGCATTGGGTCAAGTAATGATCTTTCTTTCTTATAGTTCTCTGGGGAAGCTGGTTTGACCATGTAGATAAAGTCAGTGGTGGCATTGGCCATATAATGTTATTTCTTTCTCCTAGTTCCCTGGGGAAGCTGGTTTGACCATGTGATTGGCTGGTGGAAGGCGAGAGACAAACATCAGATACTTTATATCTTCTATGAGGACATGATCGAGGTATAGATGGCAATGCTAGCGATGGGAGAGATAAGTATTTTATCAGCTATTAACTCTTTCATTTCGTTGGACAGGACCCATTGAGGGAGATCCGTAAAATAACGAGATTCCTTGGGAAGAATCTTTCAGAGGAGGTATTAGAGAAGATCAAAGAACAAACTTCATTCAAGGCAATGAAAGAGAACCCTATGGCCAATTATTCTGCTTTTCCATCTTCGTTGATGGATCAGACTATCTCTCCCTTCATGAGGAAAGGTGGGTGGTGGTCATGTAGAAGGTAGCTCCAAAGATACTGGGCTTATTTCTTGCCCAATCATTGGATCTTCTGTATTTATTGTACATTGCTTACTAAAAATATAAGAATGTGTCAATAGTGATACTGTAATCATCTTTGTAAAAGGAATGGTTATTGCCAATGTAGTGATTATTGTGTATGAGCTGCGGGTGCTGTGTCCCAGTTTTGACAGAAATCAGGATTCCTTAAAGCCCCAATAGCTGTATTACTCCCACATTAGTAATTTAGCCATTTCTAAGTTTATATATAGAATATAAACTGCAGGGAGTGTCGGGATTAAACTCATATTTACCAGAGCCCAATCACCTCCGGCTCTGGGTTTGATCAAGTGCAGCTTGAGAGGGATTCTTTCCACAACTGGATTGATATTTTCAACTCTCAGGTGTGTTCAGCCAGACGGATTCTTCTATATAAGTAAGAGACAAGCAGAGAGGCCAGGACCCCAATTGAACAGTATCCAAATCTTTATTATATTAAAAAAGGTTAAAAACTCTTACTTAAATTGTGTTGGGTATTGCCAGCAAGTTAACCACAACAGAGCATGTAAAACAAGCAGGCGCCAATGTTCAACGATCACGTCCCCTGTTCCGCTGTAACTCGACCATGTGTGGCTTCCAGGTCCCCCTCTTGGTGACGCAATGCCTTAGCCCTCCTTCTCCGGCTTTCAAGTTGAATCGCCTTCTCTGTCATCTAATTGATCCATGGGTGCGGGAGGCTATTTTCAGGAATAATCATCATTATCATGTGTCTCAAGTCTCAAATTGTCCTTAGAAATTCATAGACAAAGTTAAATCTCTGTGAACTGCAAAAACAATACCTAAAATCACAAAAATAAAAAGGAAAGACGCGTAGGAGAAAAAAGCGGTTTGTTTTAGCAGAGGATCCCATTTGACAGCAGATTATACCCTTTTCCATGTATTTTTGTGTTTATTGTTATGGTTTGATTTAGGTGATAATCCCCTGTCAATATATTCAAGAATGTTGGTCTCTGAATGAGGCTTTATCAGAAGGTTTAATTTCTAATTTACATGTTATCACGGATTTAATCTAAATATAAAATATACTGTTTACATATTGATGAATAGTTTGTTCAATTTAGATTTATTTTTTAGTTAATATTTACTATTTTATCATTCTATTTTAGATAACTGTGGATTCTGTGTATGTTTTTCTATATAATGATCTGTTTTGAAATATATAGCTGATTTTTGTAATAATTCTTCAATAATATGCCAGCTTTCTCTACGGTTAGTTTGAGAAAAGCACAATTTAGGCGATAATCCCTCTTTAGTATTCTCATAGTTATGATAAATTCTAAAATATATTTAATAGATTAATTTTATTTTAGAGATGCAGATTTGTTCATGTGATTCACTTTTATATGAGAAACTCCTATAAATATATTTACTTTTCTTATTTAGTACTTGATCAAGAAAATTGTATTTTAGGCGATAAACATGCCTAGGGTTAAGATGAATTTTAATATAAATTATGTAATTCATGTCTGTATATGTAATAATGTGATCATTTTTTATTTACAAGTTGATCAAAAAACACCATTTAGACAATAATCCTTTAGAAGCAGACTTATAGTGACGCTGAACATTATTTTATATTCCCGTGATGTATACTTTAGAGATGTGGATCCCTCCATGTCAGGGGTTCCCAACCCAGTCCTCAGCCACCCCACCAGTCCAGGATTTAGGGATTACCCTGTTTTTTGTTTTTCTTTTCTAAAAACACCTTAGACACAACAGTGTAATCCCGAAATCCTGGACTGTTAGAGGGTACTTGAGGACTGGGTTGGGAACCACTGCTCTAGGTGGTTTAACTTTGTATATGAACTGCTAAGGACAATCTGAGACTTGGGACACATGATAATCATGATTGTTCCTGAAGGGGTCTAGAAAAAACTGCTGCACCCATGGATCAATTAGATGATAGAGGAGGGGGTTCATACAACGTAAAAGCCAGAGAAGGAGATCGTGATGTTGTTAGATGAAGCCCAAGAAGATGGGAGAAACAAGTCACAAAGTGCGTCACTAAGAGGGGGACCAGGAAGCTGCTAGCGGTCGAGTTACAATGGAACCCGGACATAATCGTTGAACATTGGCGTCTGCTTGTTTTACAGTCTCTGTTGTGGGTACCTTGCTGGCAATACTCACCACAATTTAAGAGTTTTTAACCTTTTTTAATATAATAAAGATTTGGATACTGTTTCATTGGCTGGCTGAACACACCTGAGAAAATATCTATCCTTTTGTGGGAAGAATCCATCTCACGTTGCACTTGTTCAAACCCAGAGCCAGAGGTGATTGGGCTCTGATAAATGTGAGTTTAATCCCAGACACTCCCTGCACTTTATATTGTGTGTGTGTGTGTGTGTGTATAAGCTTAACCAGATGTTCTGCACTATAGGTGTTTATTTCATTATTTTCAGAACAACATTGGAAGATACTATGTTTTACACAATTTAAGTGCTCTGTTTATTAGTCTGCTAACTTTGTGTGTCATTTGTTGGTCACTGTTGGTGAGTTGTAATTGTGTGGAGTTGTGCACTATTTATAATTTTGGTATTCTTAAGCGCTTTACACTTTTGGTTTCTGTTATAATTTTCATTTATTTTTAACTTTAACGAAAAAGCGGTAGCAATTACACCCTCAAAAACAACAGTTAAAGGGAAATACAACAAAAATTAATTGCAGGCACGTTCTATTCTATTTCATTTTCAATGTCTTAATATTCTTCAAAGGGTGATAGTAACAGCCCCCTCTGTTCCAGGCACTGTGGGGGACTGGAAGAATCACTTCTTGATGTCGCAAAATATTGTTTTTGAAGAGGAATACAAGCAGAAGATGGATGGTGCTGGCTTGATATTCCGTGACCTTCTGCTATAATTCCACCATTGAATTCTAGAATATTTCCAGTTCCAGTGATAGATGAAGAGGTTCTTCATAATCTAAACCATTCTACCTCGCGATCCCATCCTTACTAAATCGCCTAATACAGAGCTGTAGATAGCAAGCACACCATAAAACCCTCGCTGAATTCAATAACTGCAATCGTAATGGTCCAAACAAGATTCATTGATATCAATGACCCAAAACCCCAGGACTCAATTACTTGTTATACACAATTGAGTGTATAAAGAATCTTCAGTATTTTGAAGAATCCAGATTAGAACACAATGGAAAAAATGTGAACGATGGGCAGACAGATGGGTAGATATAAATAAAAGGTTTCCTTGATAATTATTTCACTTAAAGGAACACTATAGTCACCTAAATTACTTTAGCTAAATAAAGCAGTTTTAGTGTATAGATCATTCCCCTGCAATTTCACTGCTCAATTCACTGTCATTTAGGAGTTAAATCACTTTGTTTCTGTTTATGCAGCCCTAGCCACACCTCCCCTGGCTATGATTGACAGAGCCTGCATGAAAAAAAAAACTGGTTTCACTTTCAAACAGATGAAATTTACCTTAAACAATTGTATCTCAATCTCCAAATTGAACTTTAATCACATACAGGAGGCTCTTGCAGGGTCTAGCAAGCTATTAACATAGCAGGGGATAAGAAAATCTTAATTAAACAGAACTTGCAATAAAGAAAGCCTAAATAGAGCTCTCTTTACAGGAAGTGTTTAGGAAGGCTGTGCAAGTCACATGCAGGGAGGTGTGACTTAACTCCTAAATGGCAGAGGATTGAGCAGTGAGGCTGCAGGGGCATGTTCTATACACCAAAACTGCTTCATTAAGCTAAAGGTGTTTAGGTGACTATAGTGTCCCTTTAACATTACACGGAACGTTAACTGCCTTAATTGCCTTATTATAATTTGCTGAGTTTGAATAGATCATTCTGTGATTTAAAAAAGAGGTTTATTTTAGTACAATGTTTATTTATCACCTATATTTGCCAAATATGATTTACAAACCTCTTCGTTTGCTGGGCCATTTTTTTCATTTTATTTTTGTTTATTTGTGAATTTTGCAATAAACGCTTCCCTATTCACTTTATTCACCTTGTTTCTTGTAGATTTGATTATTTTTTTTTGGTTGGGGGTGGGAGGAGGTTTTCCTACATCGTAGGTGAAAGTCTGACTACTCTCTCCCAGAATTAAAGGTGTATACCTTTTTGTATCTTTATATGGTCTAAGCCACGTTCATTGCACTCCGTGCTTAATTGGCACAGAATTGAGTTTTAAGTGCTGATCCATGCCGATGCATGCAGCTGCCAAGGTGTTATATTGCTGTATTCCATTAAGGTGTAAGCTTGGGGATTTTTGCTTGAAACAAAATGAGAATATTAAGTGAAAAATCCTTCAACAAAAGGCTCACTTCTATTCATCACACAAACAAAATGTAACAGGTTTGTTTCAATTACCAGCTGAATACTTATAATACAAACTTGAAAAGTGAAACCGTTTAGTTGTAAACCCCTTTTACTAAGATAAATAATAAATCTCACCTATAACCCGATCAGGGACTTTAACCAGGCAGCGGGGATAACCAATCCCTGCTATAAGGTGTGTCTTGGCACCGCCGGCCACCCCTGACACACTAACTATATTTGACATTTAAAGAGAACACTCAGCCTAGAGAAGTGTGTTTTCTTAGCTTCGTTTTGTCTGTCTCACCCTGAAATAACCACAAGGAGGTGACTATTTGTGGAGGACGCAGGCTCACAATGAGAGCGACCTTTTAATTTGGATGTGAGATCTCTCCATAGTAACCATCTCAAGAGGCTTCAGTTGAACTCGCACTTCACATTGTCAACTCCCCTTCTTATCGCCACCTTCTTGTTTAATCTCTGTATGTTTGTCTCGTTCTATCGTTCCAAGTGTTTATCTATTGACGGGAGTCTATCTACTTCCATTTCTGCTCTTTTCTCTTTTGCCTTTGTTTTTTGCCTCAAACTTCATTTTATCTCCCTTTAAGCCTCTTTTCTTAATTTTCCTCTTCATTCGTCCTGATCATGGCTTTTGAACGGAATGCACACCATTTTGAGTCCTACGTCATGCAGAGACCGGAGATGGGGCGTATTATGGGGGTTCCACTGGATCAGAAAACTTGTGACACTTGGAACAGCATCCAGAGCTTCCAGGCCCATCCTGCCGACATTCTTGTAGCCGCTTATCCTAAAGCAGGTGCAACAACAGATTACATGTCAATATGATTGTTTAAAGCTAGGTTTAGGGGATATTTATTCTATGGGGACTATAACTAGGGATGGACAAAGTATTTCAATATCTCTGACTGGCTCATGTTTGGCAAAAATTTCCAAAAATTGCTCTGCTGATTTGATAAATTCTATTTTTGAAGATTTATTAGTGACATACAGCTAATCGCCCCTTAAAAAGACACTGTGGGCCCCCAGATCACTTCAGCTCATTGAAATGCTTTCCTATGGGGAGGCCTAATAAGCGCGCAGCACACACCGCGCATGCGCATTAGAATCCGCTCATTGAGGGACGTCTGAGGAGGCTGAGCTGTGAGCCAGCACCGAGGACATTAATTAATCCCTTTATTTACTGGGGAGGAGGGAGGATGAGGCTTTGCATACCTGGCACAACAGTATTCCTTTAAGAGGGTCATTATTCATCCACTGACTGCATCCATCCATACCAATAAACCATAATCATGCTCTTTCTTCAAATGGCCCACACCCAGTCCGTTTTACCCCACTGCTCTCTCTTGTTCCCCTCTTACCAGGTACCACATGGATGCAAGAAATTGTAGATATGATTTGCGAGGATGGAGACATAATGAAGTGCCGTCGGGCTCCCACCTATGACCGACACCCCTTTTTGGAGGTGGTGGCTCCAGAACCTGTTCCCTCAGGTAAGAAGCATGCACTATGGGCAGGTCAGCTCATAATCACCAGTTACAAAAATACAGGGGGAAAAATACGTAGTTTGAGATAGAAACTAAATGTACATAAACAGCGATATGGGGAAAAAAGGATTTTTCACTAACACAGAATGATGGTACGTTGACCACCAACTTGTGAAATATAAGACAAATAGACACATTTTTTAAATAAATCACTGGAGAGAGGTCCAGTTTTGTGACGGTAGTCACCATCACCAGGAGATTCAGACGTAAACACTTTATGTAGTACCCTAGACTACTTTGTCTAAGTCACCCTGTGCCCATTATAGGTGCAGGGTGTTTATTATGCATTTGTTTATTGTTAAATGTTTTGTGTGCTCTCCTGTCCTGCTGATGTTTGCTACAACCTAGGTAGATTTGGCAATGAAGCCTGTATAGCGCCATCTGCTGGTATCAACAGCTATATGCACTACCTGAATAGCAAGGCTTGTTAATTTGCATATTCACATCAGTTTTGGATATTGTGGTTTCTGCAGGCAGGAGATATAGTTCTGGTTAATTATTGTTTCCCCACTACTTTATATATATGTCATGGTGTTATTGTGTGTTTCCCCATATGATTTGATTATTTGTATTTTTATTGGTTGTCACCACATGTTTCAAGACAAGTCACCAAAGGCTAGTCCTTGTTCAAAATAGAGTTTTCTAAGTTATTTATTTTTGCAACTGTATATCCAGTGTGAAAATTTGTTTGGATCCCAGTAACAGAGTCTTTGGACCTGTTGGATGCCTGCAAGACCTCTCTAGCACGGGACAAGTAAAAAAGAGAGCTAGGCCTGAGAGCCAGTAGTGCCTTTGTAAAGGCAAGAGCTAATCAAATTACAGGCAGAGTTGTAAATACCTGCCTGTGAAAAAAGCTGAAGAGGCAATGGCAGAGGGAACAATACCTGCCTGGAAAAATATAGCTGTAGCCTAATTGAGGTGGAAGAGTCCAGAGAGACCCCAGTCAAGCTTTAGCAACTGGGTCTGAGGGCTCCAGAGTCCCCTGTGGTAGCAAGAAACAAACCTGGTGGAGGCATTCGGTCAGAGTACAGGAGGTTTGTCACAAGTTTGTCCAGCACACAAGAACTGGAGAGTGCGCCTATCCCTCTCGCACTACTGTGCAAGACTCTCAATTGCTCAAAATGCATTAGGCATAATACAGGTCCCCTTTCTGAATACATATTGAACCCACATTCTATGTTTCTCTACCATAGGACTACAGTTAGCTGAACTGATGGAACCACCTCGTATCCTGAAAACTCATCTTCCTGTCCAGCTCCTTCCACCTTCATTTTGGAAGAATAACTGTAAAGTAAGAAGGAAGATGAGAATGTGTGCATTATCTACATACCAATATGTATTTAATTTATACCTCTTTCTAATGATTTTTTTTACCTCCTGTAGGTTATATACGTGGCTAGGAATGCCAAGGATTGTATGGTGTCCTACTTTCATTTCCAGAGAATGAATAAGGGTCTCCCAGACCCTGGGACCTGGGATAATTACTTCTCAACCTTCATGTCTGGAACAGGTGAATTACCATCAAGCATGCATCCTTCAAAGAATCATATTTGTTTTTATTTTCTCAGAAACCATGATTGTTAAAGGGACACTATATGGACATTTAAAGCGGTCTGGGTGCAGTGTCCCTGTCCCAGTTAATCCTTGAGACTAAGACTGTCTCTAGTGGCTGTCTACCAGAGAGCCCCTAGAGGTGCTTCTGGGAGTTTACTAGACTCTAGGTCGCCTAACTGACGCTTGATGTCCTCACGCTCTGCATAAACATTGACACAATGTTTTCCTCTGGGGAGGGCACTAGGCGCTTGCTGTGCCTGCATTAGTTCCCCCATCAGAGGAGGTGAAGAATCGACCCAGCGCTGGAATCGTATAAGAAGAGAAAAGGTTTTTAACACTTTATATGACGAAGGGGGGTGCCCAAGGGAGTGGGAGAGCAAAGGGCCCTATAGTGTTAGGAATACAATTTTACAATTTTGTATTCCCTTTGTATGAATAGAAGTAAAGACA